GTCTGCCATTGCTTTTCCTCATTCTCTTTATGTCTGAGTGAGTTCAAGTTACTGTCTAATGTCCAATGTGAAGGACTCCTTTTAATATTTCTTTTAGAGCAGGTCTGCTAGTGATGAATCCTTTTAGTTTTTGTTTATCTGAGAATGCCTTAATAGCCGCTTCATTTAAAAAGAAATAGACTTTTTAGAGCAGTCTTAGATTCAGAGCAAAATCCCTCTGCTTCACTGGCTGCTGCTTCTCATCTGAGTCTCTAGCTTCTGGGCTTGACCTCTAAAGTGGGCATCCCTCTACAGTCCTCATCTGCATCCTCTCCACAGAGGACCTCATCTGGCACTGTGATGGAATTTCAGTGGAATCTACATGTCTATGATGACGAAAGTCATGTCAACAGTCCTGACCCTCCACACATATTCAACCACCATCTTGACCTCTCTTTATGATCGTCAAATGCAGCAGTCCCCATCCATTTTGGGAGCAGGGACTGATTTCAAGAAAGACAGTTTTTCCTTGGACTGGGGTGGAAATGGTTTGGAGATTATTTAAGCATATGGGTACACAGTACATTTACTGTGCACTTTATTTCTATTATTATCACATATTGATATACAATGAGATAATTATACAACTCACTACAATGCAGAATCAGTGAACCTTAAACTTGTTTTTCTGCAGCTAGTTGGTCCCATCTAGGGGTAATGGGAGAAAGTGACACCCAAAGTGTGTTGGCGATGTCCAGTCTACTCTGTAATTTTCATTTTGATTGCTGTCACTGCAGAAAACCCTGCTTCACAAAGATAGGATGTTGGAAATGGAAGCAGGTTTTTCAGTGCTTTTTTGGCAATCTCATGATATTCCACCTTGACTTTAATCATCCAGAATGTATCGAGATATGAAGTTGTCCCAAGCACACTTTTAAGGCCACTTAAATCACATTTGTGATCTCAAGTAGTTGATCCTCTTCTAGCACAGACAAAGTCAACTAACCTGGCTTATTCACAAATGGTTTACAGATCAGTTCCTTCCCAATTTGTCAGTCTTTTGTGGTTGGAAAGTAATGCTCCAAGTCTTTTGAAAGCTGAGATAGGTGATCATGCACAAGCTAGGAGAAAGAAGGTGCTGGCTCAGTCTCTTTCAAAATCTCTGCTGATGTTTGAAACATGTCAGAAATCCCAATGTTCACTCATCAGCAGCATAATTCCAGTTTGGCTTTGAATGCAGCCACTTTATCTGCTGACTTGGAAACAGTGTCATTTTGCCCTGTGATAGACTGAGTTTGTTGAGCAGGTTGAATATGTCACGCAGTAAGCAAGTCTTGCAACCAATTCTGTGTCGCTAAATGTGCTGGCCGATAGTGACTGTTTTCCTAAAAGAAATCTCTGGAGTGGCCCTTGTAACCAAAGCTCTCTGGTCCATGATCTTCCTTTAGAAAGCCATCTCATTTCTGTGTATAAGAGAAGGCATGTGATCTCTGTGTCCATCTCCTCACAGAGCTGTGTAAACAGACATGAATTAAGGTCATGTGCTTTAATGTGGTTGGTAATTTTAATCACAACCTGCAAAACATTGTTAAGTTCAGGTGACATTTTTCAGCTAACCGGCATTTCTCTATGGATGACACAGTGTGTAGGTTTACAGTCAGAAGCAACCTCTTTTACCTGAGTAGTGAAACCAGAAAGCTGTCCAGTCACAGCAGCTGCTCCATCCATGCATTTACTGACACAGAATGACCAGTTCAGTTTTCCTGATATGTAGTCATTCAAAGACTTGAGCTCTGGTGTTGGTTGGCAACAAAAGGGCACATAACATACCCTCATGCACATCCTCCTGAAAAATATATCGCATAAAAAACAAGCATTGTTGCCTTGTTGTCATCATTGGTAGACTCATCAACCTGAATTCCATATCATGGTGACGCTTTAATCCTAACAGTTGCACTTCAATATCCCCTGCTATTTCATCCATTCATCTAGTTTAGGTGCTGGCCAAAAGAGGAACATGTGCCACCTTTTGAGCTGCAATCTCTCCTTAAAGCTCACAGCAATGTCCTTAGTAACAGGCAGGAGCAGTTCGTCACCAATATTAAAGGGCTTCTAGCTCCAGCAATGCGATAGGTGCTAAGGATGATGCTCTCAGTGCAGACATGTTCGATAAAGTGGTGGCCTTCAATAATTGTTTCTGTTCTTCGTGTTCACATTTTTTTTTCTTCTGAAAAACTCCAAGGGCTTATCTTTTAATGCAGGGTGCTTGATATCCATTAGGTGAAGAAGTTTAGAAGGCTTCATGGCTTGTTGGATAGCTGGTCACCACATATTTTACCAAACGGGCTTGGAGAATGTGAATCACCTGTTGAAATGAATGTGCAGTTTAAGTAGGACTCTTGGTATTTTCTTTGAAGTGCAGCCTACTTTTTGTGAAATGAAGTGAAAGTCGCTCAATCATGTCCGACTCTTTGCAACCCCACAGACTATAGCCTGCCAGTCTCCTTTGTCCTTGGGGATTCTCCAGCAAGAATACTGGAGTGGGTAGCTGTTCCCTCCTCCAGGGGATCTTTCTAACCCAAGGATCAAACCCAGGTCTCCCGCATTGCAGGCAGATTCTTTACCAGTTGAACCCCCAGGCAGCCTTACAATCTTCTGCTGTCTCATCACTGGGTCTTCACCCATTTCCAAAGAAACTCCCCAGTGATGTTTATTTTTTACTCATTTTGGCTAGGATTAGCTTGTGGGCTTGCTGAAACTGTGACTGAGAAAAGTGTGCAGGGTGAGAAAGAGGCATGGATGGAAGTGGTAAATAAAGTAATGGGTGGGCCATGCATGGACTAAAGTAAGTGTTGGATTCTGACTTAAAGCCTGCCACCAGATGTAGCTTGTTACTTTCCACTCACTGATAGGGTTTAGATATGAGTCTGCGAGCAATTGATTTTTTACGGTCTGTGTTCAGTCAACCTCTCTGCTAATGTTAATCTGATTTGCAGCCTCTCCCAAGCACTAGCTTCACTGCCTCAGTTCCACCTCAGATCATCAGGCATTAGATTTTCATAAGGAGTGCACAACCCGGATCCCTCGCATGCTCAGTTCACAGTAGTGTTTGCACTCCTATGAGACTCTAATGCCATCTCTTATCTAACAGGAGACAGAATTCAGGTGGCAATGCAAAGCAAGGGTGAGTGGCTGTAAATACAGATGAAGTTTTGCTTGCTCACCTACCACTCACCTCCTGCTGTGTGGCCCAGTTCCTAACAGGGTACAGACAGGTACCAGTCTTTGGCCTAGGGATTGAGGACCCCTGATCTAATAGGCATCTCAGATTTATAATGAACAAACAGAACTATTGAATTTTACCTCCAAACTTATCCTTCTTCCCAAATGTTCCTACTTTTTGGCAATGCCATTCACCTAGTTGCCCAAACCAAAAACCCAGGAATCATCCCTGGTTTCTCTTTCCCTTAATTACATATCTAATCTATCACTGAGTCTGTTATTTCTACCTCAAAAATGTATCTCTAATCTACCAACTTCTCCCCATCTCCACTGCACCCCCAGTCCTAGGTACCCTCTCTCTTTTCTAGACTACCATAATTATTCCACTAATTGTCCTCTCTGATTCTCTCCTTCATCCCCTACAATTGGCTCTCCACATAGCAACCAGATGCTCTTTAAAACATAGATCAGGCCAAGTTACTTCCTTGCTTAAACCCTATAATGGCTTTCTGTAGTACTAAAAACAATAAGCAAAGGAAGCCACATGTCTTACCTTGACCTGTCACTCATCACGGGCCCCTTTCTGGCCCCTGTTCACTTCTGGACCTCACATCATCCCCTCCTGCTTCCTTCACTCCAGCCACACCAGCCTTGTTCTCTCTGCTCCTGGAACATAGCTGCTCATGCCCACTTTATAGTCTCTGCACCCACACTGGGGCTTCAGTTAGCAGCACCCTCTTCTTTCACAGCACCTGTGGCTGGCTCCTACTACTAATATCTTAGTCCAAGCCTTGCCTCCTCACAGCAAGCTTTTCTGCATCTCTAAATCATTTTCACCCCTCACTGCCCTTCCCTTCACTTCTAGCACACTCTGTGGCATCACTTCAAGGTATTATCTTGGTTGTAGATATAACTCAGAAATTTCCCTGTCCTCAGTTTATGATTTTACTGTCCATCTCTCCTCCCCAATTTTCCATTCTCAACTCTAATGCAAGTGCCACAGAGCAAGAGTTTGTCTGTCTTGCTCATTACACCCGTCATAATGCCTTCCACCTACTAGGCTTAGGTAACAGATAGGGGGCAAATGAATTAATGAATTTCACTTTGAAGCTTATTTTAAGTGGAAGCAAGGCTGTGATGTGCAGGATGTGGGCTGCCCCCTACAGTATATTTTCAATATGGGAAGAAGCTTCTGCCCTTTCCTGAGCGGCTGCACTTTGTGGCTTTCTTTCTGCTTCTCTTCCTGGCATGTCCTTAGCACTGGGGAGTTCTGAAGAGAAGAGGAGGCTCAGTTCTTGTTCAAAAGAAAAGCTATCTTACTTTTCTTAGGAAGACAGGGCATATTTGAATTGGAGAACAACCTAAGGCGAAATAAAGTCTAGTGGGCTGGAATGGAATCAAGTGCCAAAATGTTTGAATTAGACCCATGGTCCCCAAATACTGCCAGCTTCACCAGAGTCCCCTGGGGGAGCTTGTGAACAATGCAGTTTTAGGGGTCCAGCTTAAGAACTAAGTTTGAGAAGTCTGAGGCAGGGCCCAGGAATCGGAATTCTTATAAACATTTCCCATGGAGTTCTGATGATTAGCCAGAAGCAGGAGCCTCTGAACTGTCTGGGACAGAGATTCGCAGCTGAGCTGGCCCTTCATTGTCCTGAGGCAGCCGAGGGAAGGAGCACGGTCAGCCCTGGATGAGAGCTGGATGGAGGAGGGGAAGGCAGTGCTTGAAAGTGGGGAGCAGCAGGGCCAGCGCTGGGAGCAGGGGGCTGGCAGTCAATGGTCTCCCGCTCTCTACCTGCCAGTGGCCCGGTACCGCGTGACTGTGTGCACTGGGGAACTCGAAGGTGCGGGAACGGATGCCAACGTCTACCTCTGCCTTTACGGTGACGTGGGGGACACAGGGGAGCGGCTGCTCTACAACTGCAGGAATAACACCGACCTGTTTGAGAAGGGCAATGTAAGTTGCAGCGATGCGACGCCCCCTCCCCGGTCCCACCCATTCTTCCTTGGTCTTCCCTGCTCCAGGTAGAGCTGCCCGCTGGTACTGGGGCCTTGGCCATCAGAGGGGCTGGGTCTGGGGGAGGGAACCGGGAACTACATGCCTGCCACCCACCAGGCTTCTAGGACTGGGAGCTGGAGAGCTACCCTAAAGCGATCACAATCTTCTTCCCACCCCTGAGCTTTGAGAAGAGGGCAGAGCAGGAGGACTTCGGGGCGGGCAGGCAGGGAAGGGAGCTGGGCACCTTATGGTGACCTGGAGATCCCAGGCCTGCAGGAAGCTGGGGCGTCTGAGGGCCTGCTAGAGAACACTGCCTTCTCCACTAGGCGTGACCACTGGAGGCACCTTGTTGATTTCCTTTTTAAGAGAAAAACCAAGAAAGATTCTAAAGGTGGAAGTGGGAGAACTAGGTTCTCCTGTCAGCCACATGACCATGTGCTGGGCATTTCCTTTGGTTTCCCCAGCCATCAGCTGGGTTTACTGGGGAGGATGTGTGAAACAGTTGGGAAAGAGTCAGGCAGACTGGGGCCAGTCACTTCATTCCCTGAGCCTCTAAAGCGGGTGAAGGGTGCCTGCCTGTGGCTGGCTGTTGTGAGGATGTCAGATGCACTGCCCCAGCAGATCTGGCCTGCAGCACGGTATGTGTGTGTGCTAAGTCGCTTCAGTCGTGTCTGACTCATTGCAACCCTACAGACTGTAGCCCGCCAGGCTCCTCTGTCCATGGGATTCTCCAGGCAAGAATACTAGAGTGGGTTGCCATGCCCTCCTCTGTAAAGAGCTGTGTGGCTGCAAAACTGTGAGGCCAAGGTTGGTTATCAGATGAAGACTTCATAAGCCATGGTCCTCTCTTTTCTCTTCCATCCCTTCCTTGGCAAGGGCAGGGCAAGCCCCAGAATGTGAGTGGAGGTCTCCTTCCATCCTTTCTCATTCTTTTCTTGCTACATCTTCTGATTCCTGCCATGAATCCCACCCTCGAGTTCCTGTCCCCAGGGTATGCTCCTATAGACTTGGGGACTTTGTAGCCCCTGCTGGTTGGAGAGAAAAAACTGAAGTTAACAAGACCACTGGTTCCCCCCAATCATTCCCTTTCTCAAAAGGGCCCAGTGTCTTTCTGCAGCAAAGCGCTAGAGATTAGCCAAGGAATGAATTCACAGTGAATGGTTAGTCACTGATGACAGCTTGATGTGTTAATCCTCCTGGGGGATTTGCCTTTTCAAAGGAGATGACAAGGAATGGCTATTGCTCAGCCAAGAAATGCAGATCTCAGTTGTTGAGAACTTGATGTCAAATGATGTTTCAGTGGGAGAAATTGGGGTGGAGTGCAACCTGTTCTTTATGGGTAGCTCCTGGCCCACCAGGGAAAGACCAATAGTCCAACCCATCAGCTATGGCTTGTCGGATTTCTGGGCCTGTATCTTCCCTTGGGGTTTGGGTCCCAGGGGAGCCACTGTCCATCTGGCCCTGCTGTCTCCCCTGTAGGCCGATGAGTTCACCATCGAGTCTGTCACCATGCGGAAGGTGAGGCGGGTGAGGATCAGACACGACGGCAAAGGCAGTGGCAGCGGCTGGTTCCTGGAGCGGGTGCTGGTGAGAGAGGAGGGGCAGCCGGAGAGCGACAATGTGGAGTTCCCGTGTCTCAGGTACACCAGGCCCGCCAGCTTTGATCCTCCCCAGCTCAGGTCACAGGCCTTGGATTCTTCTGTCTTGCTGAGGTGTGGAGCTATGGCATCTGCTGTCAGAACTTCTCTGCCAGGGAGTGGTGAACATCTTAGCTATGGTAGATGTGTGTGTTTATGGGTGAGTGTGTATATGTGTGTACATGTGTGTGCATAGTTGCACACTTTTGTGAGCCCGGGGAAAGAGTAATAAAAGCTCCAGCAGACTGGCTTATCTATTTCACAACATCTCACGCTGAAACTGGGCTGAAGTGTCTGAAGCTGAAAGAAAGCGGCTATATTTGGAAATACGTGTTAATATCCTGCAAGCATTTAGGTGGAAACTGAAATGACAAGTCACGGTTTCCTGTGGTTGGGGAGGGCCTGGGGATGGAGAAGTGGCGGAGGGCAAGAAGGGAGAGAGATGTGGCTTTGCGATGGCTGAGGATGGCTGAGGATGGTGGTCCATCCTCCCGGTTCGTCCCCATGAGCGCTAGGCCAGGGCTGCCCCACAGCGGTCTCCAGGTCTGTGGGAAATGCCACAGTGACCTCAGCAGGACAGAGGTTGATTGAGGGACTCTGACCAGCACTGCTCACTCCCCGAAGTTTCTCCCTTCCTGTCATCAAAGCCAAGAGTTTGTGTCTTCATGTCTTAGAATCACAGCGTGAAAGTTCATGGGAAGCATGACAACTTAGTGGTCAGCTAATTTTTTCTTAATTGAAGTATCGTTGATTTAAAATAGTGTGTTAATTTCAGGTGGTGAGCAGTGATTCAGTTATATTCTTTCAGATTATTTTCCATTATAGGTTATCGACTATAGTTCCTTGTGTTATACAGTAGATTCTTGTTGCTTATCTATTTTACATGTTGTAGTTGATGCTAGCTAACAGCCAACTGATAGCAAGGTCCTAGAGATCATGTGCTTGGGGAGGCAGGGCTTGAGAGAGGGATGGGAGAGGCCACAAGGTCACCTGCATTGACCCGGGGGAGAGGGGGCAGTGTATTGGTAGAGCGGACCATGGTTTAGGGAAGCCTGAGCTCCTTGTCAGGAGAGCTGGAGAGAAGGCAGTGCCTTGGCTTCATTTGAGGTTATCTGAGGTTATTGATATTTCTCCCGGCAATCTTGATTGCAGCATGTGCTTCCTCCAGCCCAGTATTTCTCATGATGTACTCTGCATATAAATTAAATAAGCAGGGTGACAATATACAGCCTTGACGTACTCCTTTTCCTATTTGGAACCAGTCTGTTGTTCCATGTCCAGTTCTAACTGTTGCTTCCTGACCTGCATACAGGTTTCTCAAGAGGCAGGTCAGGTGGTCTGGTATTCCCATCTCTTTCAGAATTTTCCACAGTTTATTGTAATCCACACAGTCAAAAGCTTTAGCGTAGTCAATAAAGCAGAAATAGATGTTTTTCTGGAACTCTCTTGGTTTTTTGATGATCCAGCAGATATTGGTAATTTGATCTCTGGCTCCTCTGCCTTTTCTAAAACCAGTTTGAACATCTGGAAGTTCACGGTTCACGTTTTGCTGAAGCCTGGCTTGGAGAATTTTAAGCATTACTTCACTAGCGTGTGAGATGAGTGCAATTGTGCAGTAGTTTGAGCATTCTTTGGGATTGGAATTCATTCCAATCTGGAAAACTGGAAAACTGACCTTTTCCAGTTCTGTGGCCACTGCTGAGTTTTCCAAATTTGCTGACATATAGAGTGCAGCACTTTCACAGCATCATCTTTCAGGATTTGAAATAGCTCAACTGGAATTCCATCACCTCCACTAGCTTTGTTCATAGTGGTGCTTCCTAAGGCCCACTTGACTTCACATTCCAGGATGTCTGGCTCTAGATGAGTGATCACACCATTATGATTATCTGGGTGATGAAGATCTTTTTTGTACAGTTCTTCTGTGTATTCTTGCCACCTCTTCTTAATATCTTCTGCTACTGTTAGGTCCCTACCATTTCTGTCCTTTATTATGCCCATCTTTGCATGAAATGAAATATCAATAACCTCAGATATGCAGATGACACCACCCTTATGGCAGAAAGTGAAGAAGAACCAAAGAGCCTCTTGATGAAAGTAAAAGAGGAGAGTGAAAAAGTTGTCTTAAAGCTCAACATTCAGAAAACTAAGATCATGGCATCCAGTACCATCATTTCACGGCAAATAGATGGGGTAACAGTGGAAACAGTGGCTGACTTTATTTTTCTGGGCTCCAAAATCACTGCAGATGGTGATTGCAGCCATGAAATTAAAAGATGCTTACTCCTTGAAAGGTAAGTTATGACCAACCTAGATAGCATATTAAAAAGCAGAGACATTACTTTGTTAACAAAGGTCCATCTAGTCAAGGCTGTGGTTTTTCCAGTGGTCATGTATGGATGTGAGAGTTGGACTCTAAAGAAAGCTGAGTACCGAAGAATTGATGCTTTTGAACTATGGTGTTGGAGAAGACTCTTGAGAGTCCCTTGCATTGCAAGGAGATCCAACCAGTCCATCTTAAAGGGGATCAGTCCTGGAGATCAGTTCATTGGAAGGACTGATGTTGAAGCTGAAGCTCCAATACTTTGGCCACCTGATGCGAAAAGCTGACTCATTTGAAAAGACCCTGATGCTGGGAAAGATTGAGGGCAGGAGGAGAAGGGGTGGCATCACCAACTCGATGGACATGGGTTTGGGTGAACTTCAGGAGTTGGTGATGGACAAGGAGGCCCGGTGTGCTGCAGTTAATGGGGTCTCAAAGAGTTGGACACTACTGAGAGACTGAGCTGAACTGAACTGGCTTCCTTTGATAGGTTCTGTGGCCAGGAGTTACCTCCCTCTTGGGAGTATAATAGGAATGACTGCAAAGATAAGCACCAAGACACAGACATATGGGGTGACACTCTGGACAAGAAGCAAGTATCTTGGTTTCCCTGTTGCCCTGGAGAGCATTGAGAGTGTCTCTTCTGTTGCCATCAGCCCAATATCACAGACCATCTTGAGTAGTGGGGCCTGGATAACTCCTACTTGCACAGCTGTCTGATTTCTCAGGCTGGGTCTCTGTGCTCAGTGGAAACAGTGCTTTTCAGGCAAATTGGCCCGATGTCTTTCCTGCTGGCATCTACTGTGGCCCACTCCAATGTACTGATGGGTCATAGCCATCAAGCCCCTTCCCTTCAGGGTGCAGACCCAGCGTCTCCTTGTTGGCAAATCTCATTCATCCTTGAGAAGTCAGATCAGAGTCTCTTCACATGAGCCTTTCTCATTTCTCTAAACTTCTGCTGCACTTGATTTGGCCCAACATTCGTCCTTGTCTTGGTCTCCATCCAGTACCTTGACCAGTCTGTCTTGCCTCCTTCTTTTCTTTTAAATTAATTTTTATTGGGGTGTAGTTGCTTTACAATGGTGTGTTAGTTTCTACTGTACAGCAAAGTGAAATATATATATATATGTATCTCCCCATTTTTTGTGTTTCCTTCGCATTAAGGTCACCATGGAGCACTGAGTTGAGTTCCCTGAGCTAGACAGTAGGTTCTCACTAGTTATCTATTTAACACATATCAGTAGTGTACATATGTCAGTCCCAGTCATTAAGTCACTCAAGCCTTTTTGGACTCTTCCAAATGCCTAACCTTGGACTAGGTGTGACGGAGACACTGTCCTCAAAAAGTTCATTGTCTAGTGGGTGATGTAGTCACAAAGAGTCAGACACGACTTAGTGACCAAACAGCAAGTGGGTAACACCAACTGAAAGATAGACGACTATAAAAATAAGCTAGTTAAGTGATGCCTAAGAAAGAGTTACTTATCCAAAGAATTAGTACTTATTCTATGTCCTGCCTCCTTAGCTAGACGGCAGGTTCTCTAGGTCCTGGGCCGTCTCTCATTCATCTTAGTGTATCTTTTCTGCTCCCCCCGTCCCCAACACCGCAGAGCACCCTCAGCACAGTGCCATGCACATGATGAGCTTTTAGAAAAAGAGGTAGGGTTTGTTTTTTTTTTTATGATAATGACACAGGTGTTCATGGCTTTTAGGACAGACTCTTTACCATGATAACTGAGGTTCCACATCAAGTGACCCTGCCCCTTCTCCAGCCTCATCCGCCAACCCTGTAACATTTGCTTGCTCCATTCCATTCCACACTTGCCTTCAGTCTGCTCCTGGAGGCTCTGTTCTGTCCCAGCATGTTGTTCGCTCAGAAAGCACCTCCCTCCTCTCCTGGTTAACTCCTCATCAGCCTCCCAGTCTTACCCAGTTATCACCTCCGCAGGGCAGCCCTCCCTCCCAGTCTGGGTTGAGATCCTTTCTTCTGAGCTCTGGTAGAACCATTTCCCTTTGCTGAGTTCAGAGCTCCGGCCTCCCGGTGAACTGTGTGATGGTTGGTTGTCAGGCTGCCCCGCTCAGGGAGCTAATGGCCCTCGTTTGCCCACAGGTGGCTGGACAAGGATAAGGATGATGGGCAGTTGGTCCGAGAGTTGCTGCCCAGCGAGAGCAACGCGACATTGAAGAGTAAGTGATCCAGAGGACAGGTGGTGGGTTGGCCTGGGTGGGACTTCCCTGGCTACCTAGAAACCAGCCCTTGGAGAAAGCACACACCCTTCACTTCTCTCCATGAAGCCAGCACTGCAGAGGGTGGGGAGGAAGAGGCTCTGAGAGAGGATCTGGAACCCTCTGTCTGAGCTGTGCACAGCCTCTTTACAGGCCTGGATGTGGGGCCCTGGATGCCTGTGGGCTTCTGTCAAGAGTAACAAGGGTAGTAACACAGGCTAACGCTGCCCGGCCCCGGGCTGGGTACCTGTCATTCAGGACCGGGAGAGGATAAACACGTTGGGCAGGGGCTGTACAATGAGGACCCTGTTTTTCAATGCTGAGAATTATCCTAGAGGTCTTACAATTTTCCTTACTGGTACTATTTCTTTAAGAACCTTGACTTGTTCATGAGTCTTAGACAAAATTTAAAAGAAATATATCCAGAATCCTCAATAATACCAACACCTGGTTTCTTTTCCAAGGCTTCATAAAACTGTTAATCTCCCAGCCGTGTCTGACCCTTTGAGACCCCATGGGCTGTAGCCCACCATGCCACTCTGTCCAAGAGTAGTGGAATGGGTTGCCATTTCCTTCCCTAAGGGATCTTCCCGACCCGGGGATTGAAACTGAGTCTCCCTCATTGCAGGCAGATTCTTTACCGTCTGAGCCACCAGGAAAGCCCCTAAGACCTCATATTTATCACTTATTATCTGCAATTTGCTGTCTGACCTCAGGAAGATACTTAGCTCCACCAGATCTGCATCCTCACCTGACAAATGGGCATAATGACATCAGCTCTGCCTAACTTCCAAAGTTATTTCTGGGCTCACATGAATAATAAGACCTCATACTTATCACTTTTTATCTCATGTGAGCCCAGCAAGAACCCTGGAAATCAGCAGAGCTAATGTTGTTATGCCAGTTTGTCAGGGGGGACCCACATCTGGTGGAGCTAAATATCTTCCTGAAGTCAGATAGCAAATTGCAAAATTGGAATTCTGCATTCTGAGAATACTGAATTACAGAATTTAAGAGCTGGAGCAGTTCTTAAGAGATGAAAAAATGCCTCATTGGACACAAGTCTCATGCTGGTGGCAAGGGGAGCCCCTAGGATAGCCAGGTCTGCAGTCAGTCATGGAGCTGGGCCCAGCGCCCAGGCATCTCTGTCTTCCTGCCCATCCTTCCCACTCCAGCAAGCCCTGCTGTTCCACAGGGACGGGGTCCTTCAGGCTCCCTCTTCCCCAAGTCAGAGCTTTTGAAAGGATTTAGATGAAAATAGCATAACACAGCAGTCTTTTTCTCAGGTCCTGCTGTATCTTTACAGCCAAGACAGAAGCCACTTCCTCAGGTGTGCCCGGGGAGCTGACCTGGACTGTACCCACAGGCCTGGCCTCCTCCAGGGCCTGACTGGTCTGTGGGGTTGTCACCCAAGAGCTGTGCTTAGCTGCCTCTCTCCGAGTCTTTCTTGTCAGCGCCAGAAGGCCCTGAGACGGCTGTGAACCGCAGGCCTTGGAACTAGCATCACTTGCCTTTCCAGTGCTTCCCTTCTCATTCCCAAGACCCACGCCCTGGAACAAGGCTATCGGACCTGGGCTCATGGCTCAGACTATCCTAGGCCTTGCCTTTTATCCTCCCTTGTGGACAGATGACACAGACCTTTCTGGGTCATAAGACAGAGTAACATCAGCATGGCAGTTTGGGTGAGAACAAGACTTTGGGTCCCCATTAGGGATTTACTTCATAGCTGACTCTTTTTTTAATATCTCCAACTATTTTACTTTAGTATATAAACTTTAATACATAATAGTTCAGAGAAAACAATTGTGATTATTTCAATATCATGCCAGATATGTTATTTGATAAAACTTAGCTTCTATTTCTCAATTTTAAAAAAATGTATACAAGCTTACTTTCTTAAATGATTGTGTGAAAACACTACTCTCAAATTTAAGGACTAGTATTATGCTTAAGGATGACTGCCTAGTGTTTAATGCTAGGCTGGCTCCTTCTGAACTGTTGCCATCTTGGGCCAAAAACATCATCTTCTGAGGCTCAGATTCCTCACCTATAAAACCGAGGTCAGAATAACACCCATGTAGGTAATAACACCAGCAATAATACCATGTAGGTAACATGTTATATGTTTTCTGCCAGGAGGTAGAGGCTTCCTTAGCCTTGGTTTCTTCATCCATCAGACGAGAAATTGAATGCGTATTTGCTTTAAATCCTCGTCTCTTACATTTTAGTATTCTTTGCATGCCTTCCTGTTCTCAGCGCATTCACACCCTATGGGGCAGATGAAGCAGGAATCAGAATTCTGATTTTGAGATGAGGGGACTCCAAACGATGGTAGGAGCACCACCCCCCAACCCAGTCTCAGGGCTATGTGAGGAGGGCAAGAGCCTGGGCCCCCGACCCCCAGCTGAGCATCCAGCCCTGGCCGTCCACCTCCTGCCCAGAGCTCCCTGCAGCTCACCCGCGCTAACCCCTCCCTTCCCGCCTCCTGCCCTGGACTGTTCAGACTTCCGCTATCACATCAGCTTGAAGACGGGGGACGTCCCTGGGGCCAGCACAGATTCCAGAGTCTACATCAAGCTCTACGGGGACAAATCTGACACCATTAAGCAAGTTCTTCTCGTCTCTGACAACAACCTGAAAGACTATTTTGAACGTAGCCGAGTGGATGAGTTCACCCTGGAGACCCTCAACATTGGAAACGTAAGTCTCTTTCCCAAGACGGTGTGAAGGTGTCTCACCTCTTTCCCTGTGTGTATCTCCACATGGGTGCACACACACACATACACTTGTGCACACACACTCACACATACACACACACACACACTCACATACATGCACACACACATACACATACTTGCATGCATGCACACACATATATACACACTCACACGCACATATACACATAGACACACTCATACACACACACATACACACACTCTCACGTACACACAGGTGAACCCTTTTGAAGGGGAAAAGTGCCCACTTGGCTAGTGCAGTACATTGTTTTCCAGCTATGACCTAGAGCAGCAGGAGGCATGTGAGCAGTGGTCAAGCTTTCAGACTCTCTCTGGGGCTGGAACTCATGTTCTTAGTCTGGCGTTTCCTTTCCCTCTGAAGCCAGGACCAGAGGGACCTGGGCCCTCGACACTGGTGTGCAGGAAAGGAGGAAGAAGGAAGGAGGGAGAGCTGTAAAGAGGGGCTGAAAATGCTTCCCAGTTCCAAACTGGCGTGTCTGTCACAGTGACACCCAGAAAGCCTGTTTCAGTGTGAATTCCCAGGCCACACCTGAGAGATTCTGCCTTAGAGAAGAGATGGGTCCCCACCATCACCTCTCCGGCTGACTGTGCCGTGAGGGGTCTAAGCATTCACCTGGAGAAGTGTGGGTCTGACTGCCTGGACTCAAGTGCTGGAAACTTTTCTAAAAGTGTCTGAGCAGGGCTTCATGTTACCACCTGTCCCTCTTGAGGTGACTTGTGTAAACTGAGAGGGTTACAAGCTCCCCTTTGCCGACCCCTCCCCTCTTGGTGAGCCTCACCTGATTTGAGGTGCTCTGGGGAATGATTTCATGTCAGTCATTTACATCTTGAAGCTCCTTAGCTTAAATCAAGATTTTCTTTGATCAAGCTGTATTTACATTTTAAGCTGAATTAATAAGTGTAGACTGAAATGCTGCTTCCTTAACTAAGGATTTCTGGCAGCAGCCAGCAGATAAATGAGACATCCGAGTGGTGGAGAAGGGCGTTTGAGTCCTTCTTGTGTTTCTGAAACCTGCTCAACAAGCAGTGTGGCCAAAAGTTGGGGAGTGTGGGCTTGGGCTCCCGACTGCCTGGTCTGAGGCCCAGTGTTTCCACTTACCTGCCATGTGCAAGTTACTTCATCTCTGTTTGCTTTGGTTTTCTCACGACTATTGAAAGGGATTCCAGTGGGATTGTTATTAGCATTAACTATGTTAGTAACACCCACATGCACGTATGTACTCAGTAAACTCTAGCCTTAGTGACTGAATGATTGCCCATGTCAGGTTCCGGCCGCTGCGGGACTGACAGATGATCCCTGCCTTCATGGCATTTTCTGTCATATCAGACAGAAAACACCTGTTCCTGTCTTTCCTCTGTCACAGTGCCAGCCCCACAGAAAGATGACGAAGCTCTTCCGTGCTCCTTGGCCCACATCCTAAAGGCTCTCAGACTGTGTCTGTAGACGTAGCTGGATTCCAGGGGACTGGCCTCCAGGCACTCAGCTGTGATAGGTTTCCATCAGTAGTGGCAAATAGGAGCTCAGGACGCAGAAGAGTGAGAGCAAGGCTTACAGGGACAATTTTCTAAATCTGGCCTTTGGGCAACAGGCTCACAACTAGCACCACCCCTCCAAACCATCACAGAGAGAATCCAGGGGGCTGGAAGGGATCTCAAAGGCCATCTGAGAATTTCATCTGATGTTAGAATTGGCCTGGATATAGCATGTCAAAAAAACAAAAACATAAATGTCATTCAAACACTGAAGAACGAGGTACATTTAAGGATGATAAGGTGCACATTTATATGCTCATCTATGACATCTGTGGGCAAAGATTAACATAAAATATAAAACAGCAAAGCAACTGAACTATAGTGTTATTGAGAAAAATACACCTTGGTTCTAAGAGTGGGAGGAAGCACGGGACACAGAATGACAAGAGCCCCAAAAGGCTGTCTGCATATTGTCACCTGTAGGATGGCTGTGCCAGAAAAGATGTGCAAAAACATGTACAACCGTGTATGGTGTAAGACAGAACAATGCCAAATCACCGACATGGCCACCAGAAGCCAATGGTTAATAGCTTGAACGTTTGCTTTCTTGTGCAGCCACCACATTCTTAGGACGTCCACTGCCTAGCATTCAGTACATTCTGGAGCTTTCAAAGCTCCGCTCACACCTCTCCTCCCACTTGCTTCTCACCACGTCCCTGGGAGGTGGGCTGAACTAAAGACAAAAGGACAGAGCCTCCAGGCTGGAGAGATGGGGCCCTGGTCTCCTGGCTGGTTGAGGCCAGCCCAGCCTGGGACCCAGCCCTTCCTGCTGAGCCTGCATCTCCTCAAGAGCTGGAGACCCGGCTGAGGGGAGTCACTTGCCCTGGTGTTTTGGAGGCGTAAGGATGGAGGCTTCTACACTGGCCCCTTGCTCACATGTATCATGTGTTTCCTTCCAGATCAACCGGCTGGTGATCGGGCACGACAGCACGGGCATGCATGCCAGTTGGTTCCTGGGCAGTGTCCAGATTCGCGTGCCCCGCCAAGGCAAGATGTACACCTTCCCTGCCAACCGCTGGCTGGACAAGGACCAGGCTGACGGGCGCCTGGAGGTGGAGCTCTACCCCAGCGAGGTGGTGGACATCCAGAAATGTATGGAGGCAGCTGTGACGGGACTGTCAACACTGCTCCCCATGGGGTGGGGCAGCGGGGAAGGAAAAGGGATTGTGGGTGACTTGGATCTTGGCTCAAAGTGGGAAGCTTCCAGTTGCCCCTGGTAGGGTTCTGGGAGGGAAAGGGGGCTCCTTCTACAGATGGGGAACCTGAGGACTTGGTGGATGAACCATTGTTTTCTGGGAGAAAGGCAGCAGATGACTTTATTGAGAAATATACCTTCTTGGCCTTGCGTACAAGAGGAGCTTGAGAAATAGTTTTCCTCCTGGGAATACTAGTGAAGAGATAAGCTGTTTGTGCATTCATTTATTCAATATGTGTACGTTGACTGTCTCTCTGTGCCGACACTGCCCTAGGCTTTGTAGAGACAATCATGAGAAAAACAGATCAAAGCCTTGTCCTCATGGACTTCACGCTCCATGATGGGAGACAAAAAATAAATCCATAGTATAATGTCAAGTAAGAGCTAGGAAGAAAAGGAAGCAAGATAAGAGGTTAGCAACAAAATAGGGAAGAGGGAACTATGTGGACAGGGTGGTGACCTCTCTGAGTGGAGGTGAAACTCAATGTGATCTGGCTATCTATTGTACATGATGTGAGAGCCATCAATTAAGTAGGGGTTAAAGAAACAAGAGGCTATCTAGAGGACCATCAGTCCAAACATGGTACAGACAGTGTCCCTTCCCTCACCTCTGCATTTTTGTGTCTATCCTGAAAGCAGCCATCCTAGACTCGCTGCCACAGGAAGCTGCTCTGAGAAAGAACCCACTATGAACTCACTGCTTCCTCTTCCAGAAAGCCTTGTGTCTTCTCACTGTGTCCGTCCTCTCTCCCCATGTAACCTGTAAATTCTCTGAGGACTGAGTCACATACACAGGCTTTGTAGTGGTACCTGCTAGTGTGCAGAATCAAATCTTTCCCTCTTTTTATGAGTTCAAACTTGATTTCCATCAGAGCAATACAGGTACTGGGCTTCCCTGTTGGCTCAGATGGTAAAGAATCTGCCTGTAATGTAGAAGACCCAGGTTCAATCTCCAGGAAGATCCTCTGGAGAAGGGAATGGCAACCCACTCCAGTATCCTTGCCTGTAGAATCCCCATGGACAGAGGAGCCTGGTGGGCTACAATCCATGGGGTTGCAAAGAGTCAGACACGACTGAGTGACTAAGCCCAGCACGATACAGGTACTACAAGATAAAGATTAAAAAAGCAGCAGTTCCCTTACCTACCTCTTTCCCCAACCCTTCTTCAGAAGTAACACATTTTTAATAACTTTAGCTTTTTCTTCAGAAATCTATCTCCGTATTTTCAGTAATATACTCATCAACTGCTTGATTTTTTTTCAGTCACTTAGTTGTCGTTCAGTCGCTCAGTCCTGTCCGACTCTTTGTGACCCCATGGACCGCAGCATGCAAGGCCTCCCTGTCCTTTACCATCTCCTGGAGGCTGTTCAAACTCAGGTCCATTGGTGATGCCATCCAACCATCTCACCCTCTGTCATCCCCTTCTCCTCCTGCCTTCAGTCCTTCCCAGCATCAGGGTCTTTTCCAATGAGTCAGCTCTTCACACCAGGTGACCAAAGTATTAGAGCTTCAACTTCAGCATCAGTTCTTCCAATGAGTATTCAGGACTGATTTCCCTTAAGATTGACTGGTTTGGTCTCCATGCAGTCCAAGGGACTCTCAAGAGTCTTCTCCAACACCACAGCTCAAAAGCATCAATTCTTTGGCACTCAGCTTTCTTAATAATCCAACTCTCACATCCATACGTGACTACTGGAAGAACAATAGCTTTGACTAGATGGACCTTTGTTGGCAAAGTTATGTCTCTGATTTTTAATATGCTGTCTAGGTTGGTCATAGCTTTTCTTTCAGGGAGCAAACATCTTTTAATTTCATGGCTGTAGTCACCATCTGCAGTAATTTTGGAGCCCAGTCTATCACTGTTTCCATTGTTTCCCATCTATTTGCCATGAAGTGATGGGACCAGATGCCATGATCTTCGTTTTTTGAATGTTGAGACTTAAGCCAATTTGTTCACTGTCCTCTTTCACTTTCATCAAGAGGCTCTCTAGTTTCTCTTCACTTTCTGCTATATGGGTGATGTCATCTGCATATCTGAGGTTATTGACATTTCTCCCAGTAATCTTGATCTGGTTTGTGCTTCATCCATCCCAGCTTTTCCCATGATATACTCTGCATATAAGTTAAATAAGCAGGGTGACAATATATAGCCTTGACGTACTCCTTTCCCAATTTTGAACCAGTTCATTGTTGTATGTACCGTTCTAACTGTTGCTTCTTGACCTGCATACAGGTTTCTCAGGAAGCAGGTAAGGAGTTCTGGTATTCCCATCCCTTTAAGAATTTTCCACAGCTTGTGATCCACACAGTCAAAGGCTTTGGCATAGTCCATGAAGCAGAAGTAGATATTTTTCTGGAATTCTTCGGCTTTTTTGATGATCCAGCAGATGTTGGCAATTTGATCTCTTGTTCCTCTGCCTTTTCTAAATCCAGCTTGAACATCTGGAAGTTCTCGATTCATGTACTGTTGAAGCCTGTCTTGGAGAATTTTGAGCTTTACTTGGCTAGCATGTGAAATGAGTGCATTTGTGGGGTAGTTTGAACATTCTTTGGCATTGCCCTTCTCTGGCATTGGAATGAAAACTGACTTTTTTCAGTCCTGTGGCCACTTCTGAGTTTTCCAAATTTGCTGGTCATAGACATTAATTATTTTCAGTCATAGACATTAACTATTAACTTCCTACTGTGGAATAGGAGGATTTAGCTTTTTAAACACACGCACACATACATTTATACACACACACATATATCCCCTCCCTCCAACCGTCAATAATCAATATTTTATTTTTATATTATTATAACCATGTAAATATTATTCACTGCTGAGATACCTACTCATAAAAATTACGCCTCATTTTTTATATAACTTATTTTTTCTGGAGTTAATAATAATCTCATTTACTCACTAGTAGAGTTTTCAATATACACATATATATTTCTATACACCCATCTGTATACCCACCTATCTGTATTAGTCTGCTAGGGCTACCATAACAAATTACCACAGACTAAGTGGCCTAAGCAACACAACTTTGTGTTCTCCCAGTTCTGGAGTCTGCAAATCTAAGCTGAAGAGTCAACAAGTTGGGTTTCTTCTGTGATCTATGTCCTGGGCTTGCAGAAGGCCACTGTCTCACTGTCCCTCACAAAGTCTTCCTATGAGCATGGGCATGTCTGTGTCCCAGTCTCTCCTTGTAAGGATACCAGTCCTATTGGATGGGGACCCACCTTAATGGCCTCATTTTAACTTAATCACCTCTGTGAAGACCCTGTCTCCAAATGCTGTCACATTCTGAGATACTAGGGACTAGGGTTTCAACATATGAATTTTGGGAGGACACTGTTATTCCATAACACCATCTTATCTCCGTCTCTCCAATAGAACTAAAGTTCTTTTCGTAGCTTCAATCCAACAGGAACTCTATTTCCTTTTCTCCAACTCCCATCACAAGGGAAACTCTTGTCTTGTTCTCTGGGCTACAGTGAAGCTTTCCTTTTGAGACTTCCTTTCTACCATCTTTTGGACATTCCAGTCTTTCTCCTCTGGGTTAGATCTCCTGTTTTCTGAATTTCACGTCTTCCTCTTCTTTGGTTCATTGTCCACTGCAATGGAGAATTTGAATGTGTGCAAATGTCTCTGGTCTACTCTCACCATTGATCCAAAATTTGGCTTGCTAGAGAATTCTGATCTAGAACTCATTTTCTCTTAGAGTTTATAAGGGATTTTCCTACCACCTTCTGGCTCCCAGGGTTACAGCTGGGAAGTCTGATGCCATTCTGCTACCCAAACCTTTGGGTTTTTTTCTCTCTAAGACCTGCAGGATCCTATTTTTATCCCTAGCATTCTGAAATTTCCTGATGTCTTCAGTATCTTTTGTGATTTTGGTTTCATCCAATCTTCTGGGAACTCAAGAGCTCCTTGAATTTAGAAGTGTTTTTTTTAGCTCTGGGACCTTTTTTTTTGGTATTTATTTATTTGACAATTTCCAACTCTCTGTGTCTGCTGTTTTCTTTAGAACTGAAATTTGTTAAGCTTCCTCTGATTTTCTTATCTTTCTATCATTCTGTTCTTGGGAATTTTCCTTTTTGTTCTTCAGTGCTGTCCTTGACTTTACCCTTTCTTTGGAATACTTTATTTCAGCTACTACATGTTCATTTTCAATAGCTGGCTCTTGTTCTCTGCATGCTAATTTTTATCTATCCTAATTTTGTTTAATCCTGGTTACTATTGAAACCAGAGAGAGTGAAGAGACTGGGGTACTCCCCATTAAGAATGCTGGCTTTTACTGGGTCTCCTTCCTGTCCATCAACCTGCCCAACCTCACCCCCAGCTAAAGCCACATCTCTAGTTCGACTTCTTTCGGCTCTCAGCCATTCCCCTCTGTTTCAGCCGCCAATTTCTCACATTTCTGTGGTAATGGGAGACCCCTTATCTTGTTGAAAATAAGTCTTAACTTGAAAAAATTATGATTTCACCTTACAGCATTGCTGAGAGGACAAGTCTTGTAATAGCCACTTAGGAAAAAAAATATGGTCCCATAGCTCTTGGAGACATTTTGCTCTCCTATAAGAAGCACCCTCTAATGGTGAATACTTATAACACATTTCCACCCTCTAACAACTTAACAGTATTTCTTCAACATAGAGACAAATTCTTTCTGTGTAGCTCTGTTGGTATCATCTGAAAGATGCCTACATTTAAATGAAGATTACCATTTCAACCATCCTCCTTTACTGAAAACAAGGGAAAAAGACAAACACATAGCTTTTTGCTTCTATCTGCCCCACAGTGTCTACCCAGGGGTAGGCACACAGCAGAGGGTGCCAGCTGGTGTACTGACCTCATTCCTGGTTCCGGAGGACACATGCGGCACAGAGGCGAACTGAGCTTTGGAGTCTGATTGCTTAGGTTTGCCATTTCCACAACCAACTCAAGTCCTCGAAGCCTCAGTTTGTCGATCTGCAAAATGGCAATAATACTGCTTATGATACATCAGTATTTGTATCATTGGATGTATCATTGGATTGTATCATTTGTATCATTGGGTGAGATAAAGCCTAAGAAGCAGCAGACACATGGCACAGGTTTGGGAAATGTTTGCTTTGTAACTATTATTACTGTTGTTGCTATTACTAAATGTCCTGCTTCTCCTCCGTGTACCCACCCAGTGATCCACTATGAGGTTGAGGTTTGGACCGGGGATGTAGGCGGAGCAAGCACCACTGCCCGAGTATTCATGCAGATTTATGGCGAGGAAGGCAAGACAGAAGTGCTCTTCCTCTCCAGCCGCTCCAAGGTGTTTGAACGGGCGTCCAAGGACACATTCCAGGTGGGTGGGGGTAAAGCCGTGGTGGTGGAGGGGGGCCAAGAGAGGGCTCAGCATATGTCTGAAAACAGAGGGGTTGGTTCTCGGCCCTGGCTTCTTATTAGAACCATCTAAGGAGCTTTAAGAAACTAGTGCCGCCTAGTCTACACCTGGATCGATTAAATGAGAACCTCTATGGCTGGATATGTTTTCTGTGTGCTTGTATGTATGTGCCCAGTTGTGTCTGACTCTTTGTGGCCTCATGGACTGTAGCCTGCCAGGCTCGTCTATCCATGAAAATTTCCAGGCAAGAATACTGGGGTATGTTTCTAAAATCTCTACCAATGATACTAACATGCTGCCAATTCTGAGAACGGCTGGAGGGTTGATTCTAATTTAGCAAAATATGGTGCTAGGGCCTTGGTCACTGCATTCATTTCCAGCCTTGGCCTCTGATTCAACAGCTCACTCAGCCTAAGAATAGGGCCATGCCTCCCAACCAGGATACTGGGAGGCTTGGGGTCTCGTGGCTCTGTTCTGAGTACCCCAGACCACCTCACTTCCCTTTGAGTAGCAGAGAAAAAGAGGTGAGAATGTAAGCATGCTGTTGGCAGGAGAGAGGGCCCAGGGTGGTGCCTTTTAAAGGGCATGTGAAGGTTTTATGTGGGACACAAGTGCATATGTGCATATGTGTACGTCTGCAGATCTGTTCTGCGGTAGCATCTTCATGCTGGCTGCTCTGTGTGTGTGCCATAAGTAGCCTGGCCTCAGCAAAGAGTCCTAACCCACTGCCCAGCAGAGAGGGTCCTGGCTGAGCTGGGCCAGGGTCATGGGTGTCTGGAATGTTAGCGGTGGAGGAGGCCTCCTGGAGTCCAACTCTCTCCTGACACGGCTGAGAGTGCAGAGGCCTGATCGGTTCACCTCCCTGAGCCTCAGCTTCTGTATCAGCTCAAACCTAGTTTTACAGTAACTACCTGGCCTGCTTCACAGCCCCTGGAAGGATGAAAATGGCCAATGTCAGGGAAAGTACTTAGGAAACTGTGACCAGTCATGGAGGTGTTAGGAGCAGAGCGTCTTCTGGATGTGAGTGGACTGCGTGGCTGGGTGTGGTGGTGGCTGCCTTCAGAGCTGGGCAGGTTGATGGGGGAGCAGAGACGGCGACTGAACCAGACTGTGAGGGTGCTGTGACCTGGAAAATACTGGAGAGGAGGAGATGGGGGAGAGAGATGGCAAGTGAGCCAGACTGCGAGGGTGCTGTGACCAGGAACTACTGGAATGTGCTGAAGAAGGAACTTCCCATATCCAGAGCCCATCCCTACAAAGCTGAGAAGAATACACTCCTCTTTCAGGGGGTCCTGGGCTCCATTTTGGCTGCTCATTTTCTCACAGAGGTGCTTCTGGCTACATTGTGGCTTCATGAACAGTGAGTCAGGAGACCTGAACTCTCCTGCAGGTCTGAGCTCCACTTGTGGGGCGACACTGAACAGCTCATGGGGCAGCCCTGGGCCTCAGTCTCCTCAGCATGGGGGCCGTCGCCTGAGCCGGGGCCAGACCTCCCCTCAGTGTCAGGCTTAGACCAGAGTGGCAGATGGCAGGTCGAGGACCCAGTCCTCTGAAGCAGAGCTAAATCCCTGCCCTTTGAGCCGGCCGTGTGCTAGGCCCAGTGCGGGAGAGAGCTGAGTGCACAGACAGTAGTGCCCACAGGCAGAGAGGGCATCCAGGCTAGGCCGAGACCTTGCCAACCTCCGGGACCCCCCTGAGCACTCGGGGAGGGGAGAGCTGGGTGTGTGTGGGGGGGTGCTGGGCCCTCTTGGGGGTGTGGGGGAGACTTCTGTCTTTGACAAACAGCACATTATTTTTCTGCTTCTTAGAAAAGTTTTATATGATTAATTCTGGGGGAAAAAATGCTCAGAAAGAGAGCACAGAAAGTCACAACACTAAAAAAAAAAAAAGGTAATAATAAAGATCAGGAACTGGAATGAATAGGTTTAGTTAGAGGCAGAGGAGGGAATAAAAGCATTCTGCAGGAGGGAGCAAAGATACAGAAATAAGAAAAACAGGAGTGTGACATGCCAAGTGTGTGTGTGTGTTTAAAGTGGAGAATGAGAAAGAGAGAGGGAAGGAGCCCATCTTGACCCATTGTATTGGGGGTTCAGAAGACATCAGTTTGGGTGCAGGGGGTTCCAGCAGGGAAACTAGGCTTGGGTGGGCGCGGGGGAGAGGAGGTGCGCGGGCAGCTTTGACTCAGAGGCCCCAGCCCCTGGCTCCGCAGGGCCCCAGGGAGGATGCCGAGGGCCCCCCCCCCCAAGCCACTGCCCCCGTGCTTCATGCAGCTGGAGGCGGCGGACGTGGGCCAGGTCTTCAAGATCCGACTCGGCCACACGGGCGAGGGCTTCAGCCCCAGCTGGTACGTGGACACCGTGTGGCTGCGGCACCTGGCGGTGCGGGAGGAGGACCTCACACCCGAGGAGGAGGCGCGCAGGAAGAAGGAGAAGGACAGGCTGCGGCAGCTGCTCCGGAAGGAACGTCTGAAGGCCAAGCTGCAGAGGAAGAAGAAAAAGAAGAAGGAGGAGGAGGAGGAGGGCAGCGACGAGGAGTCCTCGTCGGAGGAGGAGTCCTCGTCGGAGGAGGAGGAGGAGGAGACCGAGGAGGAAGAAGAGGAGGAGGAGCTGGAGCCCGGGATGCAGGAGGTGATCCAGGAGTACAAGTTCGATGCCCACCGCTGGCTGGCCCGGGGCAAGGAGGACAACGAGCTGGTGGTGGAGCTGGTGCCCACGGGCCAGGAGGGTCCTGAGCGTAAGCCTGCAGAGGGGTCACTCAGCCCCCAGGGTGGGGGGCTGCAGAGAGGGGAGGATGCCCGGCTCTCCTTGCAGGTGGGGCCCTCCATGGCTCTCCTGACCTGGGCTGTGCTGAAATGCCACCACGGACCGTTCTTTGCTGGCATTGCCCTTGCCCTGAGACTCTTGGGAGGGGCCCTGGTATAACTCGCAGTGACTCATCATAGGGACATCAGCAGGAAGGTTGCTGAGGACCAGCGCCTTGCCAGAACTCGCAGCCTCTTGGGCTTCGTGGTGAAGGGAAGTCTTGGGTAGGAGGAGGAACCGGTTCGCCTCCACGTCAGTGTAGATGTGGATGTACCCTGAGGTCTTTCCTGCTTCTACCATCTGACTGGATCTGACAGGCTGAGCCTCCAGTCCACCCCGAGGCCCAGGTGTCTTCAACACTGTACCTTTCTGTGTCCCCCAGCCAACACCTATGAGGTACAGGTGATCACGGGAAATGTGCCCAAGGCTGGCACTGATGCCAACGTCTTCCTGACCATCTACGGGGAGGAATACGGGGACACCGGCGAGCGGCCCCTGAAGAAGTCAGACAAGTCCAACAAGTTTGAGCAGGGACAGGTAGGGTGTGGGCTCCCCCGGGGGGGCTGGTGGGTCCCAGATGGAGGGAGACCTCTGGTGATTCCCCAGGCAGGCCCAGCCTGCACGGCAACTGCTGTGTCCAGCCCTACGCCCTGTCCAGTCCAGCCGGGTAGAATGGAAGCGCCTCGTCCACAGCACCGGGGCTTTGTGGCGGGGACATAAGGAAAGGCACAGGTGGGGTCTGGTGGCAGGAAGCGCCCAGGAACTAACTGGAGGCGGCATGGGTACCAGACCCTCAGGTGCTGAGTGGGGGGACAGGGGTTCAGGGAGGAAGTGCTGACCAGAAGATGGGCTTTGGAGGAAACTTGGAGGGGAGGAAGCGTGTGAGCTGGACCATGGTGGAGGAGTATGGTGTTGATCTGACGATGACAGTGAGAGGTGTTCCCTGAAGACGGGACCACACGAGGGAGGTGTGGGGTGGAAGTGTGGAAGGTCAGTTGGAGGACATTGGACGGTGGGTCTTCTCACTCTGCTGTGGTTACTGCCAAGCCATGGCGGGTGCCGCCTCTGAGAATCTTGACACGACCAACTGAACGGTTGGGGGCATGAGAGCCTTAAATGACAGCTGAGAAACTCGACCTACATCCTGAGGCAGTGATGCCACGACGGCATTTGAGCATTTAGAGAAATGCAGGTCCCTCTCCTTCCAGGTATAGTAGGAAAAGCATGGAAAAATGCAACTGTCATTCTTGTCCCTTGAGATTTTACAGGGTCCTCTGGCTAGAAGACTGTCTCTCACGTCACCTTTCCCATTTCTGTCAGCATCCCAAAGCCAGCTTCCCTCATCAACAGAGAGGAGAACCAGAAATGTACAAATCCATTAAAAATACTTCTGGGCTCATTGCTTGATCTATTTCGGATGTCCCTGCTTTTTTCTTCAACACCACCTTCCCATGACTTGAAGATCAGGATTTCTTTCTGTGTTTCCTTTAAAACTTGCAGCCACTATGATGACTAGAATTGGAAGAAAATTGCAGAGGATGTAATTGGTACAACTGATGAAATTTGAATGTAGACTACATGTTAAATAATACTGTGTTGACTTTGTTTCCTGAATTTGGTAGTTGTGCTGTCATTGTACGGGCCTCCTTGGTGGCTCAGCGGTAAAGAATCCATCCACCTACAACACAGGAGCTGCAGGAGACGCAGGTTCAGTCCCTGGATGGGAAGACCCCCTGGAGGGGGGCATGGCAACCCACTCCAGTACTCTTGCCTGGAGAATCCCATGGACAGAGGAGCCTGGCAGGCTACAGTCCATAGGATCACAAAGAGTCGGACATGACTTGTTACTGAGCACGCAAGCACTGAGATTATATGAGAATGTTATTCTTAGACAATCCATGCTGAAGAATTCAAAAGTAGAGGATCACTATATCTGCCAAATAGTTTCAAATAATTCAGGCAAAAAATAGAGAAAGGGCAAGAGAGAGTGAGAGGGAAAACAAGATCTAAGGGTATACAAAATTTCATTGCTCTGTTTCTGCAAATTTTCTGTAAGTTTAGAATGCTTTTCAATAAGTAGTTTAAAAGTTATAGTCAAGAAGATCTCATTCACTTATCGGGTTCACTTCTCTGGTCCTGATGTCATATGCTTCCTCCAGTGCATATATGTACAGTGGTATCGTATACATACAGTGGTATCATATATGTACAGTGGTATCATATACATACACTGTTATCATGTACATACACTGGTATCATATACGTACAGTGATATCATGTACATACACTGGTATGTACGTACACTGGTATCATGTATGTACACTGGTATCATATATGTACAGTGGTATCATGTGCATACACTGGTATCATATATGTACACTGGTATGTACATACACTGGTATCATATACGTACAGTGATATCATGTACATACACTGGTATCATGTACACACACTGGTATCATATACGTACAGTGGTATATACGTACACTGGTATCATATACGTACACTGGTATCATATATGTACAGTGGTATCATGTACGTACACTGGTATCATGTACATACAGTGGTATCATATATGTACACTGGTATCATGTACATACAGTGGTATCATATATGTACACTGGTATCATGTACGTACAGTGGTATCATGTACATACATTGGTATCATGTACATACACTGGTATCATATATGTACACTGGTATCATGTACATACACTGGTATCATGTATGTACAGTGGTATCATGTACATAAACTGGTATCATATATGTACACTGGTATCATATATGTACAGTGGTATCATATACATATGCTGGTATCATGTATATACACTGGTATCATATACGTACAGTGGTATCATATATGTACAGTGGTATCATGTATGTACACTGGTATCGTATATGTACACTGGTATCATATACGTACAGTGGTATCATATACATACAGTATCATATACATACACTGGTATCATGTACGTACACTGGTATCATATATGTACAGTGGTATCATGTATGTACACTGGTATCATGTATGTACACTGGTATCATATACGTACACTGGTATCATGTACGTACACTGGTATCATGTACGTACACTGGTATCATATATGTACAGTGGTATCATGTATGTACACTGGTATCATATACGTACACTGGTATCATGTACGTACACTGGTATCATATATGTACAGTGGTATCATGTATGTACACTGGTATCATATACGTACACTGGTATCATATACGTACACTGGTATCATGTACGTACACTGGTATCATGTACATACACTGGTATCATGTACGTACACTGGTATCATATATGTACAGTGGTATCATGTATGTACACTGGTATCATATACGTACACTGGTATCATATACGTACACTGGTATCATGTACGTACACTGGTATCATGTATGTACACTGGTATCATATATGTACAGTGGTATCATGTATGTACACTGGTATCATATACGTACGCTGGTATCATATACGTACGCTGGTATCATATACGTACACTGGTATCATATAAGGCTTCCCTAGTGGTCTCTCTCCCCACTTGAATGGTGAGCAATCTAGGTCTTACACTTTACATTCTGTCAATTACTTCGGATTTGCACTTTGACTCATAGTAGGTACTTAATCAGAATGTGTGGTTGAAGGAGTTTATGCACACACATACACACACAGCATGTAGTATCTGCATACATGCAAGCAACAGGTCCTACACATACACACACACCCCCCACAACACAAATGCGGGCATTCAGTCAACCCATTTTCCCTACCCCTCTCTCACGGTCACTTCTATCACCCTCTTACCTCCCTCCACCTTCCAGGACACAGTGAAAATGAGAAGACCTCCCTGGCAGGGGCAGGTGAAAAGACAGTAGTGCAGTAGGTGAAGGGAATGAAGAGGTGGAGACTTCCAGCTATAAAATAAATAAGTCTCAGGGATGTAATGTACATGTAGGGAATATAGTAAATAATGTTATAATGACTTTGTATGGTGATGGATGATAATTGGTCTTTAAGTGGTCATCATTTCATAATGTATAAAAATATTGAACCACTATGTTGTACACCTGAAACTAATTTAATGTTGTATATTAATGATAATTCAATAAACAGAAGCTGGTAGTGCAGACCAAACCCCAGATGGCTGGCTACATTTTCCATGCCCCCTCCTTCCTGATGCTTTGGATCTAACAATTGGCCTCAGGCTGCCCCAGGTCCTGGGAGGGTGAAGCTGATGGCGAGGTGGGGAGGGCTGCCCCCACACCATGAATGCTACTCTGATCTTTCCCAGACAGATACCTTCACCATCTATGCCATTGACCTGGGGCCCCTGACCAAGATTCGGATTCGCCATGACAACTCAGGCAACAGACCGGGCTGGTTCCTGGACAGGATCGACATCACTGATGTGAACAATGAGATCACGTGAGTGGGACTGGAGGGGAGGGAGGGGAGGTCATGCCTGCCACTGAGACAGTCATGGAAGGAAGGGTAGGGCGGGGTGGCTGTGATGCGTGAGGAGGGCGGGGCTGGGATGGGGGTCTGGCCCGAGGGGCTGGCTAGGTGGGCATTGCCTCCTAGGAGACTCGGGCTGCCCCTCAGCTGCCTGGCCTGTCAGGTGGGCAATCTAGTAGAAGATCTAATCCAGTTCTTTATGTCCATCGTTTCAAAAAGCAGGTTTTCTATTCCTGCCATGGCCCAATCTCCATGCCCAAATTTACTATTCATCAGTCTCTCCATGTATAAAGTGACTTCCAGGACATGACTTTAACATTCTAGACCAGGAATAAGGAAACTTATTCTGTGAAGGCCAGAGAGCAATTATTTTAGGCCATTTGGTCTCTGTTTCAATTATTCAGCTTTGTGTTTGCTGCAGAAGAGTAACCATAGGTGATACCTAAGTGAATGGATTTTATTTAAGCTATTTTTTTTTAAGGTAGAGTAGTCAGGAACTGGACTTTCCTGGTGGGTTCAGCAGCTAAGAATTTTCCTGCCAGTGCAGGAGATGGGAGTTCGATCCCTTGGTTGGGAAGATCCCCTGGAGGAGGAAATGGCAACCCTCTCCAGTATTTTTGCCTGGGAAATCCCATGGACAGAGGAGACTGGTGGTTCTACAGTCCATAGTGTTGCAAAGAGTTGGACACGACTTAGCAACTCAACAGCCACAACAACAAAGTAAATGGATGTGTTGTGTTCCATGAAAACTTCATTCATGGGCACTGAAGCTTGAATGCCATGTAATTTTCACATGTCACAAAAGCTATTTTTCTTGACTGTTTTCAACCATTTAAAGATGTAAAACCTTTGCTTGGGTTGTGGGATGTACATAAGTGGGTGGTAGGCCAGATTTGGCCCACAGGCCATAGCTTGCTGGCCCTGCTCCAGATTCATAGCTACCCCCGGGAGCTAGAGTGGGAAGGGGGCCTTGTCCTCTGACAGGTGAAGGAACCACACCCCAGGGAGGTGAGGCTGTAGCCCCAGCACCAGCTCGTGCCAGAGTCAGGACCAGAACTCCAGACCATCAGAGATGAATCTGGTGTGTTTACACCATGAGGCCACATTGCCTTTTGGGCAAGAGGAGTCAAGGGGCAATAGACATGAAAGGAGGCCTGGAGCTGTTGGGGGCGGGGGCGCAGAGGTGGACAGAGAAGGAAGCAGGCAAGATCTTGAGCGGTTTGTGGAGCTGCTGAGGGCCTGCCAGTGCCCAGAATGTTGAGGGCACTTAAGAAATAAATGTTTGAATTAAACAACATCTTGGCCTGCAGCCTGGTGTCTCTTGAAACATTCCCCTCTCTGTGCAAGGTAGAGGTTGATGGAGGTCACCCCATCTTCCACCTCAACCCTGCCCCACCAGCCCAAGAGATTACTCCAGACGGGGACACTGAGGGACAGCTCACATACAGCCCAGTGTCATGGATATCTATGAGGTCACATGAGGTCCCTGTGGTGGCACAGAAGGGATGTGGGACAAGCCCACGCTGGGAACCAGGGTCCTCACCTGGGGTAGGTGCTCTGCCAGAAACTCACCAGGTCACCTTGGACAAGTTACTACACCATCTTTATAGAAACTTTTTATTTTATATTGCAGTATAGTTGATTAACAATGATGTATTCATTACAGGTGTACAACAAAGTGATTCAGTTATACCCATACAACTATCCATTCTTTTTCAAATTCTTTTCCCATTCAGGTTAGTAGACTGAGTTTCCTGTGCTGTATAGTAGCTCCTCATTGGTTATCTATTTTAAATATTGTAGTATTTACATGTCAATCCCAAACTCCAACTTTATGAGCTTTCATTTGCTCTTCTGACAAATGGGTTTAAAGATAATAGCCCACCTTACATCTCAAGATGGTCTCAAAATCTAAAGAAAGCATTTAATCTTGACAAGGATAAAGTGCTCCAAAAAAATGTAAGGACAGGGACAAACTGTGAACATCCCATGCAGCCTGATTAGGGTCGGTGAACTATGTTTAGTTGATTTGGCATCTCTGGGCCAGCCCAACAACTTGAAAATTATTGCAGCTCTATAATCTGTTTTAATTTCTGTCCATACTTGTCTTCTTTCATTATTAAGAATATTAGCTGTTCTTACCTTTTCAGATCAAGACATTAGGTGACTTTTAAAAAAATCCTGTTGGAATTTTGATCGTTTTGCTGTTAAATGTATGTACAGAGAATTGCACATTTAGACCATGAAGTGCACACATTTCTGTCTATCCAGGTGCTCCTTGAGTATCTCAGTCAGGCCATTTTCTACACTTGCTACACACAGGCTACACGTTCCTGTTACATTTGCTCAAGTGTCTTATATCTTGATCACTCTTGTGACTGGAACCTTCTCATCACTCCTGTCTCCTTTTCCCCGCCCTTTCTCTTTCCTTCCTCCGCTCCACACTCTGCTCATCTCCTCCTCTCGCCCTGCCATCCTTCCTTGGTGTTTCATGGTTTCTTTACTTTGTTTCATTGCTACTGAAGCAGCAGTAAGGGCTCTGTGCTCAGCTGGCTCCAACCAGGGGCAGGCAGAGAGCGACTCTGAGCAAAGCCTGCCCTGGGAGAGAGATGTAAAACCATGGCTGTTCGTTGGAAGCAGAATGAGAGCAGTGAATCTTTCTCTCGGAGAGGCACTGTCTTCTCAACAGTGCCATGACCTTCTATGACCTTTGTTAGCTCAGGAATAAGACCTTTGCAGCCAGAAGGGTGAATACACCCTGCGCTGTCCTGGATGCAGTCGCTGGTCTCCTTGCAAACTGGGTGCCCTTAACTCCTCTCTGCTGCTCCCCACCCCTCCGTCCATTTGGCCTTCTGTCAGAAAAGCTGTCAGACGCCCCTCCCCATCTTCAGCACCTCCTGGTCAAAGCCTCCTGGCTGGCCCCTCTGCCTCACCCAGGCCCTGCCTCTGTCTGCAGCTGTCCAGACCCTCAGGCCATGTGTCTCCTCTGCTCACACCATGCAGAGGCTCCCGGGTCTGTCAGAGTAAAAGTGAGAGCACTTCCAGGGGCCGGTCCCACCCCTTTTGCTAACTCCTTGCTATTCCTTGAAGCCAGCAGACGCAGCCCCACCTCAGGGCCTTTGCACATGCCGTCCCCTCCTGCTAGCACTCCTACCCTGAAGGCTTGCTCATCCTTTGTCTAGGTAGGTCTCTGCTTAGGTCCCATCTGCTCAGCGAGATCCCACTCCCAGCCCTGGACTTTTTATTCCTCCTCCTCTGTTTACTGTCCCCACATCACTGACTTATAGAAACTGCTCTATTTAGTCATTCTTCCTCTCCCTGATGTAGAATATGAGGTCCCCTGAATGAGGAAACGACTGCATCCATTTTGTTCACTGCTGTGTCTGCCCCCTCACCACCCAGTCCCTAGAAGAGTGCCCGGCACATAATAGGCATACCATAGATACTTATTAAGTCAACTAATAAATAAAATTATGCTTGATGTGTTGATTCATTCATAAATTCAACAAACACAAGCCATGCTAAGTGCTACCAGCTAAACAACTCGCTCAGACACCACCTTTGAAGAGTAAAAACCTATGATGGTCTGGGAGGTAGTTCAGGTTCAATTCTTTTCTCTTCCACTCTTTGCCTATGTGGCCTGGGCAGTCACCTCATCTCTCTAGTCTCAGTTCTTTCATCCATACAATGGGCATAAAGAAACTCTTACACAAAATCATAGCAAGGAAAACAAACAAACAAAACAAAACAAAATTATAGCAAGGACTAAGTGAGGTGCTGTGTGTCAGGGAGCCCAACACCCAGTAAGAGGCAGCATCGGTTCTTTCCCTGGGCAGAAATGTTCCAGTGAATCAACATCTAAAAGTGGCCAGACAGCTAGGAAATGGGGCAGGAAAATGTGCAGGGTGGTTGAGGAGCTGACAGCCAGGGAGGCACGGAGAGCACAGGGATTGCAGGGTGAGCAGGTGTTGGTGGTCTCTGCGTGGTAACCTAGAACATTGAGGGGACCAGGAAGGAAGGTGTGATGGTAGGTGATCAGGCTGCTCTTTTGTCCAAGGTGGCATCAAGATGTGCCTTTATGAACAGGCAGCCCTTGGATGTTTGAGTGCTTGAAACAGAGAGCATTAAAAGTGGTTGAAAAATGTGATTCAGGTGGCACAGAGGTGGAGAGCCAGGGGGCACATACGGGATGCAGTGGGTCACTGGGTTTTCTTGGGCATGAAGATCATGGAGGATAGGAAACAGGAAAAGAACACTGGAGAGGGTGGTGAGATAGGGTGAAGGGGCTCCAAAGCCACATTGCGAACACATCCAGGCTCCTGACTGGCTGAATTTCATGGGCACCCTTCCAGCTGAGCATGGAAGATGGGGAGAAGGAGCAGCGAGATGTCAGCTGCTGTCAGGCCCCCTCGAGAGATGCTGTCTGAGCAGAAAGGCCCAGGAGACGGTGTGATGCCCAGAGTCCCTGCCATCACCATGAGGTCACCCAGACAGTGCCACAGTGGCCCCAGGGGTCTGACGTCCAGAGCTGGACAGATTCAGCGGAGCCTCAAGCAGGACCCCTTGGAGCCCTTCTGGCCTCTGAGACAGTTGCTCTGGAGGGCAGCTGAGTCTGAACTCGAAACCCCAGGAGGAGGGGACTGGGGGGAGTGGGGACCGAAGATTTATTGATCTGCAACTCAATTGCAGAAAAATAAAGGAATAATTATTTTCCAAATAGAGAGTGCTTGAGGTCTTTCAGAGGAGTCTCAAGCTGTCAGGGTCTGTGATCGAATGATGTGGAAAGTCTTTTTAATGGTGGTTTGCAGCTGTGAATGGCTTTGAGTGCGTTGTCCTGGGGTCTGAGGTCTCCCGTGGGTTGACCGGGCTCTACCCACAGACTTACATCCTCTCATATAAGGAGGCCGCTAGTCCCTTGGGCAGGGAGAAAATTGTGAAGTTGAGACAGTTTGTCTGGGGACTCTAGCCTGGGAAGCTCCGCCACTGGCCTCTCTGGAAAAAAACGTTTTAAAAGTGTCAGGTTGATGTTCACATTAACAGCCCCATAACACTTGGGATGAGGAGAGCTGGTCCTCTCCTCTCACCGGCTCCGCTCAGACAGTTCCTGGAGCCTTGGGGTGATGTCAGGCATCACATTCTAAGGGGGCTGATGGAAAAGAGAAAATGCATCTTCAAGAAAAGAATAGTTGCTGATTAAGAAACCTAGGAGTTGTGGCAGGAATTCTGAAGGAGGAATTAAGAACATTTCACCTGAAGAGGGGACGATGCCTTTTGATTCCATTGATTCCTGTGGTGCCCATGTATGCCAGGGACTGTGGATGGCAGGGAGCAAGGAGAATCTGAGCTTGTGGGGTGTGCAGTTTGCCTGATTTCTGGCAGAGACACTTTAAATACATGCTTCTGGGCAAACTCTTCCTTCCTCATCACTTCAGCGACCATTTATTTGACAATCATGTCCAAGTGGTATCCCAAGTTGTATCAGTCAGAATAGGCTAGGTTCTGCCAAATAACATGTAGCCCTAAAATGTCAGTGGCCTCACACAATGGAAGCTTAGTTCTTGCTCATAACATATGACATGGGCGGGGGGTGGGCATCTGGGGGGTATATGTTGAGAATCACTGTGATCTCTCAAGCATCCAAGCTGATGGAGGCTTTTCCTCAGTGTATGTTTCCATGCTCTTCCTTGCAGTGGAAGGAGAATGTGACAAATTGTGCACTGGCTCTTAAAGACCCCTTATAGCCCAGAGATTCCAAGTACATTAGCAAGGAGTTAATAATTCAAATTCCTCCTCACCTCTAAACTATGAATCGCTGATGTTTTAGTTTCTGAATACATAACAGAAATGGGCGGACATTTGTGAGTGTGTTGTCTTGAATTAGTGTGTCTTTGTTAAGTCCTTCTCTCTGCTGCTTCCTCGCCCCCGTCCTTGTTGACTAAATGAGGTTTGCCACATCTTCCTTCCTCCTTTAATACTTTAGGTATCTTTTTATATAGATCTGCAATAAAATCGAATCACTCAACTTCAGAGAGGAAGAAGCAAAATGCCACACAAGTTAGGAATATATTTAGTGTTCTGAGCTCTGTCCACACTCAATCAGTAAGCCTTTCTCCACCTCTGTTTCCAGCCCTAAGACATAGATTCCTGTTCTGATTGATGGGGATCTCTTAAGACCCTGAATCGTGACAGACAGATGTTATTCTTGAATTCCATTACAGGTGGCAAATGTGTTGGGTGGGCTTTCCAGCAAGAACAAAAAGTTTCTTGAATTATTTTTCCCTGTAAGTTTCACCTAACAGGAAGATATTCTCTGAAACCGCTCACTTCTCCAGGATTTGGGGGAGGGGGGCGGTTATCACAGAATGTTGAGACAGAAAAGACGTGACAGATTATTTCATCCAGCCTTAATGTGATGAAACTTGGGGTGCAGGGGCCATCCTGCATGTTAGGGGAAGAGCAGAGGCACAAGCCCAGAGTCCCTGAGACCCAGACCCACTCTTGTCACACCGCTCTTCCCGTGCCACCAGTGGGCATGAGCTTCAGCCTTTACGTGCAAAATGGGAAAGGCCATGCATTAAACACATTTTACAGCTTTCAGTGCGCAATCTGCTCATTCCAGTTTTACTTTCAAGTGAAACTCATCCTTTTGGCAGCCCGAGTTTTGTTTCCCACGCTGAGTTTAAACCTCCTGCTGACCCCAGCCCTGCCGCTTCCTTCCATTGCCCTGGCAGGAGTGGTGGATACCCGGCCAGAGCACCTGTCTGCCTCTCTTCTCCACTCCTGAGGAACAGCCACCTAGTCCCCTCCCCAGGCCTCCTGGAGCAGGGTTTATTCCCGTGGGAGGAAGGGGAGGGTACTGGCCCAGAGGCCCAGTCCTCCGCTAGACCTCCTGTGGGTGCTTGTTGGCACTGTTGGGGTGGAGGCTAAATGCCCGGCGCTCAGGCCCGTCCGGCCCCTGGCTCCGGTTCTCCACCGCCGGGGAGCGGGATCCGGGGGCTCGGGGCCCGCGACGCTGCCGCAGTGGGCGTGCTGAGGACCTCTAACTTCCCCGAGCAGGTGTCTCAGGGACCGCAGGGGTGGTGCGCCCAGAGGACAGGCGGGGACGCCTTGCGCATGCACTCTTCGAGGGTGTGGGAGCGCTCGCGCCCTCGCTTTCTGTCTTGCTGACTGTTCTGTCTCCCCGTATTAGTCTCTCCAGCTCCTTATACCTCTCTCCCCTCCTGTCTCTGTCCTCCTCCAGCCGCCCACACTCTCATTACTCCTCCGCGGCCCCATCCCTGCTCTTTTCTTTATTTCCGTCTCTCTCCCTTAATTGGCCATAATTTAGAACTAAAAGCCTATTATTCATAAATTATTTGGTTGAAGAAAAATTTAACTTTTCCATTCATACATTTAAAAGGCTGAAAAGTGGAACAATATGCATTTTTCACTTAAACACTAATTTCAAAGCAATCTAGTTTGTCTCTCTCAAGGCTGAGCTCCTCCCACCCGTTAAATCCATGTCCCTCCTTACACAGCTATGGGGGAGCTTCCCTCATAGCTTGGTTGGTAAAGAATCTGCCTGCAATGGAGGAGATCCCCTGGAGAAGGAAAGGCTATCCACTCCAGTGTTCTGGCCTGGAGAATTCCATGGACTGTTTAGTCCTTGGGGTCGCAAAGAGTCGGACACGACTGAGTGACCTCCACTTTCGATGCACAGTTGCACCTCCACGCCCCTGGCCCTGCTCCTCTCCCATGCTGATGGGAGGCAGTAAGCTGATGGGAGGCAATAAGGACTGCAGGAGGGTGTGGGGCTCAGAAAGGGATGAGACCCTCGGTCTGTACTGTTCCCAGCATCTCCAGACTTTGACCCATCTCTGAATACATCTTATGCACCTGGACAGCAGTAGGGATGGGGTGCAGCAGCCCCAGCTTAGAGATGGTCTGTCCCCAAACCCTCTGAGTTGTTCTGGGAGCCCAGGGGCCCAACGTTGAACTGTCCAGCCCATGGCCTCCAAAAATCCCAGGCTTGGGCTGAAGACAAAGAAAGGAAGTATCACCATCACCATCATCATCATCACCACTACCAAAGTATTAGTGAATTTTTAACCAAGAATTTACCAAGAGCCAGGCAATTTAAGCACTTAAAAATGTTTAATTCATATAATTCTCACCACTGCCTTTGAAATAGGCAGCATTATCCTCATTCTATAGAGGGTTGCCAGATAAAATGTAGAATGGCCACTTAAATTTGAAAGTCAGATAAGCAAAGAATAATATTTTAGTATAAGTGTGTCCCAAATATTATTCCTTGCTTATCTAAAATTCCAATTTAACTGGGAGTCCTGTGATTCTGCAGGCTAAATCTGGCAACCCTCGCAGAAAGAGTTGTAAAGAAATTTGTTCAGTCTCACAGGACTGTAGGTGGCAGAGCCAGGATTCAAACCCAGTCTGGATCTAGAGACGAGTCCTTAGTCCCCACTCTCTGCTGCTTCTCCTGGCCCTCGTCCTGTCTTCCCTTCCAACCTGGCTCCTCCCTTGCCCTGGGTTCAGCCTCTCCGCTGGGGAGTCTAACTTGGGCCTGCCTTCCCTGGATGGTGTCTGCTGTCTGCTTTGCCAGCTCCTTAAAGGTCATACTCTTTGTATCTTCCAGAAGCTTAAGTGGGTCATTCCATTTCAATCCCTTAGGTATGAAGCACCTCCTATGTACAATATTCTCTGCCAAAGTGACTCTGGCTAATAGATTGATTCTAGAAAAGGCCAAAACAATCCCCAGAAACACCTCTTTCTCTAGATTTCTCCTATGTAACCCTGATTCCAGGCACTGCTAACACAGCCTTTTCCCATGGGGTGTATGGAAACCACATCCCATATTTGTTGTCTACTCCAGGCAAGCATAGACTTCCAGGCAAACTGGATTCCCTTTTAGCTCAATTGGTAAAGAATCTGCCTGCAAAGCAGGAGAGCTGAGTTCGATCCCTGGGTCGGGAAGATCCCCTGGAGAAGGAAATGGCAACCCACCCAGTATTCTTGCCTGGGAGATCCCATAGACAGAGGAGCCGGGCAGGCTACAGTCCATGGGGTCACAAGAGTTGGACACGACTTAGCGGCTAAACCACCACCAGGCCAGCAACTAGTGGGGTGACTCCAAGCCTAGGTAGGATGGGAGGGCGGTGCTGGGGGGTGGGACAGACAGGGGAGCATTTGGGCCCCATGAGGGCCTCTCGTGTCTCAGCCATGACTGCTCTTTCATGAGACCTTCTCAAAGAGACATCCCCAAATCTCCCCATTCCCCTCCCGCACAGGTACTACTTTCCCTGCCAGCGCTGGCTGGCCGTGGAGGAGGACGATGGCCAGCTGTCCAGGGAGCTGCTGCCAGTGGACGAGTCCTATGTGCTGCCACCAAGCGCGGAGGAGGGCGGGGGAGGTGGTGACAGCACCCCCCTCAACAGCCTGGCCCTGGAGCAGAAAGGTTTCCTAGACTAGAGCTGATTTCTTCCCCCGGGCACCCCTCTCCTCTGTCTCTCCCCAACTAGGTCTCCATCTTCCTCTCCACTCTGGACTCTGAGCACTTCCTTCTCTGGGAATCTAGCAGTGCTGCCCTCTCAGTCTTCTATGGCAAGAATGGGGAGGAGACAGGGGTGTGTTCTCACATGTCTAGCCTATGGCTGGCTGTAAAGTACATGGCTTAGCATGGAGTTATTGTCAGGAATGGAATGGAATAGAACCGAATAGTTACAGCTGGTTTTGACTTAGTCTTGTGTCCTCCCCTCCAGGCTTGTTATAGACTCCCAATGTGAATATTTTTGTCAAGGGGAAGAATGAATTTTCATGATTCCTGTGATGCTTGTGCTCCCTTCCTTGAAACTCGCATCCCTCAAACTTCCCAACCTGGAGGAGTCAGACCAGGGTTCCCAGCTGATGAACCTTTGAACTTCACAGTCACCCCAAGTCTTCCTTAAGCTTCCTACAACTTTATTGGCTGAGAGTTTCCTGTGTGAGCTGGAAGTAGGGGTGGCGAGCCTCGTCTCTGCCTTCTGGAAGTTTCCAGATTAAAGGCAACTATAGAACAACACATACTGCAAGGAAAGTCACTCATAGAAACAGTCAACCTAAGCAGAGAAACGTGCTTAATATGTTGTCTCCCTCCTCCCTTCATGGGAGGTGCAATCTACCACTCACTTCTCCATACTCTTCTCCTGGCAGATAAATCTACCACATTTTCAGTGACCATAAAGACTGGGGACAAGAAGAATGCTGGCACCGATGCCAATGTCTTCATCACACTCTTTGGCACTCAAGATGACACTGGTAAGAAAGCAATGCAAGGCCACATTCACCCATGTTCCTCTCGAGGGAGACTGGAAGAGACAGTGGAACTTTCCAAAGATATCCTGGTCATGTCTCTCACTTTCTTTTTTAAGAAATCATTTTTAAAATTTTCTTCACTGTTTTATTGTATTGTGGGAAGAATACTTAACATGCAATCTGTTTTCCTACCAAATTTTAGATGTACATTATTGTTGACTATGGGTTCATGGTGTACAGCAGATTTCTAGAGATTGTTCATCTTACTAAACTGAAACTTTATGCCTATTGATTAATAACTCCCTATTTCTTCCTATGCCTTGCTTCTGGTAACTACCAATCCAATCTTGTTTTTATGAATTTGACCTTGATATCTCATTTCAGTCGAGTCACGCTGTATTAGTCTTTCTGTGCCTGGCTTACCTCACTTAGCATAATATGCTCAAGAGCCATCCACATTGTTGCATATTGGAGAATCTCCGTTTACAAGGCTGAGTAATATTCCTTTACATGTATATACCATATCTTCTTTATCCATTCATCTGTCAATGGACATTTAGGATTTTTATCCCATGTCTTATCTATTGTGAATAGTGCTGCAGCAAATATAGAAGTGCTAATATCTTTTCAATAACCTGATTTCATTCTTTTCGATATATACCCAGAAGTAAGACGGCAGGTTCTTATGGTAGCTATATTTTCACTTTTTGAGGAACTTTCATACTATTTTCCAGAGCAACTGCATCATTTTAGATTCCTACCCACTGTGTGTAAGGGTTCCAAGTTCTCTACATCCTCACCAACACTTGTTGTCTTTTTTTTTTTTTGATAGTAACCTCCTGACAGGTATGAGATGGTATCTCATTGTAGTTTGGGTTTGCGTTTCCCTAATAATTAGCTGGGAGGGATTGGGGGCAGGAGGAGAAGGGGACGACAGAGGATGAGATGGCTGGATGGCATCACTGACTCGATGGGCATGAGTTTGAGTAAACTCCGGGAGTTGGTGATGGACAGGGAGGCCTGGCGTGCTGTGATTCATGAGGTCGAAAGAGTCAACTGAGTGACTGAACTGAACTGAATAATTAGTGACAATGAATACTTTTTTCATATATTATTGGCCATTTTTATGTCTTCTCTGGAGAAATGTCTATTTAAGTCTTTAGCCCATTTTTAATTGGGTTATTAGATTTTCTTTGTTATTGAGTCATATATTTCTTTATATATCTTGGTGATTAACCCCTTATAGATATACAGTTTGCAAATATGTTTTCCCATTCTACAGAATTCTGTTTCTTTTGCTGTGCTTTTAGTTTAACATAATCCCACTTGTTAATTTTAGTTTTGTTGCCTGTGGTTTTGGTATCATATTCATGAAATCATTACCAAGACCAGTGTCATCCAGTGTTTTCCTTAGTTTTTTTTTTCTAGGAGTTTTACAGTTTCAGGTCTTACATTTAAATTTGTAATCCATTTTGAGCTGATTTTTGTGTATGATGTGAGAGAAGGGTCCAAATGAATTATTTTACCGTAGACATCCATTTTCCCAGCACCACTGATTGGAGGGGCTTTCCTGTCCCTATTTTGTACACTTGCGTGCCTCTGACTCTTGAACGATTACACGCAACTGACCCCAACAGAGAGAGGCAATTCCTTATTCTTTAAAAAAAATTCTTTTTATATCCTTCTAAGTCCTCTCTCGGCCCTCATTGCTGCCTCTACACCCTACAAGTTTTTGGAAGCTGTGAGAATCATCTTCCCTGCAGCATCATCTCCCCAGGTAATCGTGCCCAAGTCTTTGTCCAGCCTTCCTGAAAGGTGTTTTTTTTTTTGTTTTTTTTTTGTTTTTTACCATTTCCTGCACCCTTCTTTGAGGCGTCACTATGGTGGCCTTTCAAAACTATAGTGAAGGAGCTCCTCAGTCCACACAGTGAGAAATCTCTGCTCTCTGTCTTTTGCCAGCTTTCCCCTTCTATTCTAAATGCAGAGGTAGTGCTCACTTCAGCAGCACATATACTAAAATTGGAACAATTCAGAGAAGATTAGCATGGCCCCTGTGCAAGGGTGACACGCAAATTTGTGAAGCGTTCCATATTTTTACTATGGAATATTACTCAGCCATTAAAAAGAATTCATTTGAATCAGTTCTAATGAGATGGATGAAACTGGAGCCCATCATACAGAGTGAAGTAAGCCAGAAAGATAAAGACCATTACAGTATACTAACACATATATATTGAATTTACAAAGATGGTAACGATAACCCTATATGCAAAACAGAAAAAGAGACACAGATGTACAGAACAGAATTTTGGACTCTGTGGGAGAAGGCGAGGGTGGGATTTTCAGAGAGAACAGCATTGAAACAAGTATACTATCAAGGGTGAAACAGATCACCAGCCCAGGTTGGATGCATGAGACAAGTGTTCAGGGCTGGTGCACTAGGAAGACCCAGAGGGATCGGATGGGGAGGGAGGCGGGAGCAGGGATCGGGATGGGGAACACATGTAAATCCATGGCTAATTCATGTCAATATATGGCAAAAACCACTACAATATTGTAAAGTAATTGGCCTTCAACTAATAAAAATAAATGAAAAAAAAATAAAGTAAATGAAAACTTAAAAAAATAAAATAAAATAAATGCAGAGGTAACTCTAACTCTATCTCAATAACAACCTGGGAAATGGTGGCTCTTCCCAATCTCAGCCAGTGGGTTCCATGGTACTCTTGATATGAGATGCTCAGGGAATCTTGGAGTCATTCTGGAGCCTCTGTCAAAGCCATCACAGAAGGTGGCATATGCGCTGGAGTCAGCTGTCCACTTGGGCCACCTGTCCAGCCATTCTGAGATCAGAGAGGAACCAGTTCCTCAAATATGTAGTCATCACATATTTTCTCATTACCCCTAAAGCTCTATTCCAAGCATTGCTGCAAAATGAAGGGATGATTCCTAACTTTGTAATCACTGACCTTGAGATGCTCATCTTCTAATTCAGTTGTGTGTACTCGAGCTTGACTAATTGGTTTAAATTTCTCCTACACCACTACTAGCTGCATGACCTTGGGAAAGGTGCATAATCTCTCTTTGCTTTAGTTTCCACCATTTGTAACATATTCTGATGGCGCATTTGGTAAAGAATCTGCCTATCAGTGAAGGAGGCACAAGAGACATGGGTTTGATCCCTGGGTTGGGAAGATTCCCTGGAGTAGGAAATGGCAACCCACCACAGAATTCTTGCCTGGAAAATTTCACGGACAAAGGAGCCTGGTGAGGTATAGTCCATGGGGTCACAAAGAGTTGGATATGACTGAGCACACATATGCACTTTTGTAAAATGGAGATTAAACTAGTAGATACCCCCAGAGTTGTGGATTTAATGAAATTGAACATGTAAAATATTTGAGACAAAATGACAATAAAGCATTTATTATTAGTATTATTATTACTTAATAAGCTAAATAATGCAAATATAATGAATGAATCAGGTTGAAACTTACAAATGTATGTCACTGCAATGGTTACTGAACCATGGTCAATGAAATTGAGGGGGCCTAATAGAGTGCTTTTATTTGCCAAGGGATTTCTATGTGTTTGGCACATTTTTTAACACTCAACAGTCATCATCTTATTAAATAGTCACAACTTCTCCATGGGAAAGGCACCAAAGCCACCCCTTTTGACATTTGAGGAAACCAGATCTCAGAGAATTAAGTAATTTGCCCAAGGCCACTCAGACAGTAACCAAGGTCTGTCTGATTCTTTGTGCACTTAAATCATTTGCAATAAGTCTGTGATTTTCAAAAGACTTCCTACATGAGACAGGACTTACAGGGATAAGGAGACTTGAAGGCTGAGGCAGGAGGGGATGGTGATGACCCTGGGACCACCTTAAATTTCAGACCGACACTGCAGTCAGAGCCCTAGGACAGAGCATGTATGTGAAGTGGCAGGTGAAGGGCACTGGAATCCAACCCTCCTTCTGTCATCCAGAGAAGAGGCTCCAGAGAATTGCCACATGCCCCATCCTGTAGGGATGCCCCTGTTTCCCCACTCCAGGGAACATGGGAGGATGGCTCCCTCCCCACGTGGAGAAACCTGAGGGGTGTGTCTTAGGGTCCTAACGCTTTCTCCCCGGTGATCTTGGATAAGGCCCTTAATTTGTGGTTGTGTCTCCTTTTCTTCAGCAAAACTGGTAATAAAAATACATATGTCAAAGGGTTATTGCAAAGCTCCATAAGAGGACATACATACACACACACATACAAAATGCCCAAAATGCCCCATGGGTTGTATCTGTATAATCTAAATTTGATAGAAGTTCAGAAATTTGCTCATTAGGAGAAGAGACTAAGAGGGGTAGTTAGACTAGGTTTGAAGGCCTCAGGCCTAGCCAGTCATGTTGGGGCCATTTGGTTGCAGGAATGACCCTCCTGAAATCCTCCAAGACCAACAGCGACAAGTTTGAGAGGGATAGTATCGAAATCTTCACAGTGGAGACCCTGGACCTGGGAGATCTGTGGAAAGTCAGGATCGGTCATGACAACACAGGTCTGGCTTCCCTCCCTTCTGTTCCTGGCTAAGAACATGAGGACCATGGGCAGGTCCCCATGGGTGACTAGGAAAGAATCTAGGGTAGACTTGGATGTCATCTGCTTTCCATAATGACACAGCTTCCTCAGTCCTTTCACGGCCGCGCACAGAGATTCTGGTCTAATTGATCAGCGTAGGGCCCGGACACTGGTGATTTTTAAAGCTTTCTCCCCAAACCCCACAGTCAGAAATTTCGGTGTGCAGCCAGTCTTTGATTTAATAGGTCTGGGATGGGACCCAAGAGTTTTTATATCTTGCAGGTGATGCTGAGGCTGTTGTTCTGGGGGCTCCACTTAGAACCACAGATGGAGCCAGTTCTTCCCAGAACCCCCTAATACCATGTCCAAGTTTGTTCTCTCAGTAAAGAAAGACTCATTTTCTTGGTCTTCAAACCATATCCTGTGAGCCTGAGGAAGGAGGCCTTTCTCCTTGCCTCTGGGACTGAGGGACAAAGTCTCTGCCTGGCTGGCTTCCATTTCCTTCTTTAAACCTGAGCACTCATTTTCCCAGGGAGAAGCATCAATCCTTCACTGGCTTCCCTTCCCTTCATGCATCATAAACTGAGGCCAGGGAGCCCAGCATGTCACCCTGCCACTGGATGAAAGTGTGGAGTCCTCGTTAACATAGGCTCTCTCTGGGATCTGGGTTCCCTTTTTGGAATACCTTCCACCCTGGACGGTTCTTTGCTTCCCTCCTCTCAGACTCTGCCTCCTGTCATCTCTTCCCCATGTCCCTTCGCTCTTGTTCATTTCACTGACAGCAGCCCAGAGTAGGATCCGGTAGGGTACACAGAAATCAGTCCACACTGCTGTAAGCAAAAGGGATGATGAATCCACGCTGGTGCCTATGGCTAGGGAAGGATGCTTGGAGTCCCCGAAGTTGTATACAGGAAGCCTCTGTGCAGAGGTCCTTGAGGAGTTCTGTGTCTCCTTCCCTCCAGGCAAGGCTCCAGGCTGGTTTGTAGACTGGGTAGAGGTGGACGCCCCATCCCTTGGAAAGTGCATGACGTTCCCCTGTGGCCGCTGGTTGGCCAAGAATGAAGATGACGGCACCATCGTCAGGGACCTTTTCCACGCGGAGCTTCAGACAAGGCGGTACACACCATGTAGGAGTCCTGCAGAGCAAGGCTGGGCCTCCTCTGAGACCTCTTCATCCACCTGCCAACTCCCAGTCCCTCATCTGGGGTTGACCCTTGGCCAGGCCCACTTTGGGAATTCCCCGTGCCCTGTGCTGGCTGTGGACAGAGCTCTAGACCCAGAGAAAGGAAATATGAGATATATTTCTACTCCAAACTAGCTGATGAAACAGGCAGAGAAACTGACTTCTCTGGAGTCCAGTTTCCTTGTCTGCAAAATAGAGATAATAGTGTAGGGTGGCTGTAAGACCCAAAAAGGAGAAAAGATAAGGGCTAACACTTGTTGTTTTGTTGTTGCTCAGTCGTGTCCGACTCTTTGCAACCCCATGGACTGTAGCCTGCCAGTCTCCTCTGTCCATGGGATTTCCCAGGCGAAAGTACTGGACTGGGTTGCCATTTCCTTCTCCAAAGTCTAACAGTGAAGGGTCATTATCAACCCCTTAACCAGTCCTCACTCCAGTCATTAACACACCCAAGAAATCACTGTTGTAAGATTTGATCTTGATTGGGGCAGGCGGGGAGTGAAGAACTTGAAAAGAAGCTAAATATAATTCCTTTCTCAGCTAGAGAAAAGGAGAAAGTGGAACAATTAGGTGAATTTTTGACACTTCACTTCCTCTATCATCATCTGAAAGTCTGTGTTGCCGGGGAGGGGCAGGGCAGTGCGGAGCCAGTGGATGAGTGGTAGAAGGGATGAGAAGAGAAGAGAAAGGACTCTCACCACTGTAGACTGGCTGATCTGATTGGCAGTTGTCCCCTGAAACATAATGCTCCGGTGTTTAGGATGTCTGCACCAAGGACTGCACTGAGGATGCTGTAACAAGTGAGGAAACCAAGGCTCCTCAAGGTGACTTGCACAGGTCACACAGTCAGGCTAGACAGAGTCTGTGCTTTCACCCAATCTGTTGTACTAGCTCTGTGATGGGAGAGGCATGGAGACCCTAGTCTAAGGTGACAGCGGTTTTTGATGGACACTAGGCATGTTGGGATACCTCCCTCCACCCTGGGTTGCTAGGCAACCACATGAAGGTTCAGGCACCTGGGTAGCAGCTCCCAGTGAAGGGACAGATCCAGAGTGGTGGTGCTGGTGAAGAAATTGACCTGCCTGCATTTGTTTCCTGTTTTCACTTCCCCTCTGACTTTGCCCTCTGTTCCCTCCCCTCAGTTGTCCCTTACGAAATCACCCTCTACACTAGTGATGTCTTTGCTGCTGGGACAGACGCCAACATCTTCATTGTCATCTATGGCTGCGATGCCGTGTGCACCCAGCAGAAGTACCTGTGCACCAACAAGAGGGAACAGAAGCTGTTCTTTGAGAGGAAGTCTGCCTCCCGCTTCATAATGGAGGTACTGGCATCCAGCAGGCTTCCAGGGGAGCCAGGACAGGGGTGCGGGCTGGACCAGAAGGCAAGGAGACGGAGCCCTTGTCCAGAGTCTGGCATGTGTCTTTCATCTGATGGGGTGTTGTGAGTGAGGGAGATAGCAGTTCATCCAAGCTCTCTGAACCTCAGTACATCTGAGGAGCCAGGAGGACAGTGACCCTCCCTCTCCAGGACCAGTGTCTGAGTCAAAGGTGATAATGAGTGGACAGGGTTTAAGGAAGCTACAAGCACAATTCCACTGGGGCCATCTCCAGTGCCACCAACAGCAGAGCCACAGAGAGAGCTGGCTTCCAGACTTCCTCATCACATTATTGTCTCCTGCTTACCTGTCAAGCTACAGCCAATACAAAAGAGCATCCCATGTATTCCTTGGTTCCCCCTCGGCTCCAGCCTGAGAGTTTTGCTGTTTGATGCTTATTGTGGATGTATGTCACCGCGTCCACACCTGGGTATTCTGTACACCCATCCCATGCCTCCTTGTGCACCCCACTCTGTGCCAGGTGGGGTGGGAGAGACCAGGGAAGCAGAGGACCCAGACCATGCCTGCAAGGGGCTTGCAGTCCGACTGGGGAAGCCCAGATCTCACACGAGGCTAAGGAGAGGGTCTGGTGATCATCATCATAGCTGCTCCTGGGGGTAAGAAGGCACTGTCATAGGGTCACTTAGCCCTCGGAGCAACTCTGCACTGTGATTATCCATGCTTAAGTATGGGGAAACCAAGGCACAGAGAGTTTAGTAGCTTCCATGAAATCACACAGCCAAGGCAGAGTGGAAGCAGGATTCAAAGCCAGAAGGATTGGCTCAGAATATGTGCCCTTAGCCCCTGCTGTCCACTAGCCTATGAGAGCAAATGGTGGGGCTGGCTGAGTGTGCTGTAGGTATTCAGAGACCAGAGAGGACTCCCTGGAAGTGGTAGCTTTGAGCTGGACCTGAAAGTGGGCATATGAGAGACCAAGGAGGGAAGGCCTTCCTAGCAAGGGGGACATCATGGCCGAGGGCCAGAGGTGGAAAGGAACACATCGTGTGGCTTGAAGTTTGACAAGAGGGGATAGGAGAGTGATGTAACTTGGCTATAGGATGTGTGGAACAGGATTTAAAGGGGATGACTCTGAAGGACAAGGGGTAGGGGCTTGGGCTCTCCACGTAGTAGGGACCTTGGGAGATGTGCCCCTTATTTTCTGGTGGGAGACAAAGCACAGAGCCCCATCTTGCTTCCTCGGGTCGCATCTGCCCCGGGGAACTCCCTTTCCCCTCCCCACCTTCTCCGGGAACAGTCAGCACTTATGGGAAGGTTGCCACCTTGGTGGAGATTTTTTAACATGGAGAATTCAAGGGTGATTCATCTACCCACACGAAGCAGCATCTCACCCACGGAGATGTCCCGGTGCATGCGTCATCCCAGCCGGATGCTGTCAGAGGCCTGAGTGTGATCACACCTTGGCTTCCGGGAAGTTCCATCAATGAAGTCTGCCTAATAGGCAGCTATAATTTGCCAGTAATTTGTTGCAATTTTTTTTTCTTTCCAAATATACCTGGGTATTGGGGGGAGTATGAGAACTTAGACACAAATGAGCTCGCTTTGTGTCCCCATCTCTCTGTTTCTCATTTCCCACTGATCTTCAGGTGAGAGGAGGAGTGCTGGACTGCAAGTGAGCCCATAACCCTGGATTCTAGCTCTGCTCAGCCTCTGACTCAGGAGCAAGCCCACCCTCTCTGTGGCCTCATCCTCAGACACACGGATCTGCTGGGAAAATAACAATAGCTAATATTTACTGGGCACTCCCCATGTGCCAGCCTTGTTCTTGGCACTGGGGGTGTATCACCTCACTTAATCCTCATCACCATTCCAAGAGTCAGATGGTGTCATTGTCCCCCTTTGCCAGCTACCTGGCAGCTCAGTGTCCTTGAGTGCAGATCCTGTAAGTCACGATCTCGCCCGGAGCTTCCTGTTTCTCCTATTGTGAAAGGGTGAGGCCCCGTGCATTCATTGATCTCTGTTTAATGATTCAGAAAGTCCAGGAGCTCGTGGGGGACACCACATCTCTGATGAAGTGTGGGTGAGCTGGCTGGTGGGGAGTTTGTTAACTCAAGGTGTCTCCGGCAAAGTGACACCGTATTGGTCACTTGGAAGGAGAGAATTGTTGACAAAAAGAAGCACGTCTGTTATCTTAGACACAGAAGTGACCTTGAAGGGTTGTTCTGCCCATGTCCCTGCCTTCGGCTGAGCAATCTCCCCATTTGATAGATGAGGCAGTTAAGGCCTAGAAGGTCAAGAGACTTGTCTAGATCATGCAGCTTGTAGCGCTACAGCTGGGAAGGATGGAGGTGGGTGGGAGCAGGCGGACATTCCTCAGGCGGTGCTGATGGGCTTGCCCGTGGCTGTCAATGGTGGGGGTGTGTGTGTGTGGAGGGTGTGCAGTGCTGGGAGCTCTTCTAATTCATCCCCAGGTCACATCTGTCTAGGCTTATAGAGGCTCCATGTTTGGTGAATGGCTCAATCACTCATTCAGATGCCATTCACTCATCAGGAGTCTTCATCCACCCTGGAGCTGACTATGCCATCTCCTTGTAGCACTGAGTCCTTGATGGAGCAGGCCAGGCAGAAAGCGCTCCAGAGGGGCTGCCAGGAAGCTCAAGTCTGCACACCCTCCTTAACCTTGACCTGTCAATGCCAAAGGCATGAGTTGCATGGACCAAGCATGAGCCAGGGCATCTGGGTATTATTATGTTTCCCGGCCCTCTCTTCCCTTTACCCCGACTTCCTTGTCTGTTTCTACCTGTGATTGCCCAGATCCCTATAGGGATGAGGCAGGGTACGAACTGACACATACAGCACTATTTCAGGGGAGAACATGACACATGAGACGTGGGAGAGGCCCCCGAGGCTCCCAGAGGCCCTAGAGTGGGATCTGGTGGAGGGCAGCCTGACAGAGAGAGCCAAGGAGGCAGGTGCCAACTCTGTGGATGCCTTGCCTTGTGTCTGGCCACCTTGCTGCTTCTTTCGAAGGCTCCGAGGAAAGGATCAGGGAGTCAGTCACTCCTAGCTGAGTCCCACTCTGGCCCTGTGTGCCCATAGGCTCCAGGCAGGAGAGATGAGAGATGGCACCTCCTGAATTTCAGGGACTCACCATGTCTGCACGGATCGCTCTTTCATTCAAGGGGACTTTCATGCACACATTGGTGGCTGAGGTGTGAGAGAGCCCAGCTGACTTTGTCACACTCATTTCTCAGATGAGGAAGCAGTCTTTCATCCTTTCTGCCATTAGGTATTGAGTACCGAGGTCAAGGGCTCTGTTCTGGGTTTTGGGGATGCCGTGATGAGCAAAACAGATGTATTGCCTGCCCTTATGACTTTCAGTGATGGAGGAGAAGGTTTCACACAAGTAAATGCAAACTTCTGACTGTGAGAAGTGCTGGTGTGTGTGTGTGATAGGATGCCATCAGACCCTATCATGAAGAGATTTGAGCTTTTTAAGGTGATCAGGTCCTCATAGCTCAGTTGATAAAGAATCTGCCTGCAGTGCAGGAGACCCAGGTTCAATTCCTGGGTCCGGAAGATCTCCTGAAGAAGGAAATGGCAACCCACTCCAGTATTCTTGCCTGGAGAATCCCGTGGATAGAGGAGCCTGACAGGCTACAGTCTGTGGGGTTGCAAGAGTAGGACATGACTTAGTGACTAAACCACCAAGGTGATCAGGGGCTTTCCCTGAGTAAATATCCTTGAGCTGAGTGAGACCTGTATAATGAGGTTGGGCAAACACCAGTTTAGGTAAAGAAGAAGGGAAGGGGCAGGCAAAGCTGATGCAGAGGCCCTGTGACAAGAAAATGTCAGGCTTGAGGGACTGGAATTTGACACAGAAGAGGAGTGGCTGGATTTGGAAGCAGCCCTTAGGGGCCTAGGAGAAGGTCAGACTAGCAAGACAGGGCTTGGGCAGAACCAGAACGCATCTTCAGGGCTCAAGCCTCTGCTAGTAACAGAAGACTGAGGGCTGGGCTCCACCATGAAAAGGGGGAACGGCCTCCCAGAGCTTGATTGAACTGAGTTCTGGAGTCTAGGCTGGTGTTAAGTCGGGGAGAGGAAGGGAGGTATCAGCACAGTGTGTGTAATGAAGGGAAAGCAGAGGCTGGTTTGACCGAACAGCAGGGACTGACTGGGAGAAAGTGACCCCTAGAAGTTCAAAGGGATTCTAAGGTAGATGCCCTCGGGAGGCAGGGTTCTGCTGAGGTTGTACTTTCCTGGACTGTTTAGCCTACATCTGGTGTGTTTTCTCCTTCCCCAAGTTAGAAGACGTGGGAGAAATCATTGAAAAAATCCGGATTGGCCACGATAATACGGGCATGAATCCTGGCTGGCACTGCTCCCACGTGGACATCCGCAGGCTCCTCCCAGATAAAGATGTGAGTTTCTGACTGGTCCATCCTGCTGCTTCTTTTGTCGTTTTTCAGAAGAGATTCAAGTCAGATTTCTTATAAGAAACTGTAGCCTTTTTAAGTTGAGATAAAAATCATCTAAGGAAAATTCAGCTAGTTCACGCCAAGTGCAGGAACTAAAGCAGGCCCAAGGCACAATCTTTTAAAACCTTCAAGAAGAAGGGTCTGGGCAGCCGTGTCTCTGCTCCTCACCCCCAAAGCCATGCTACTAGTGAGTGACCAAGTGTGTCCTTCCTGCAACTCAAGGTCAACTCAGAGAAAGAAAGCCATCCACACAACTTTGAAAACATTCCTGAAACCACAGAATTCTAAAGCTAGGAGGCAGCGGTCAGTCATGGCTGTGGTATGAGTGAGCTGGGAGAAGTTTAAAATACAGACTCTCCTCCGACGGCCAGCTGAGTTTTAGCCTCTGGGATGGGGTTTGGGTATCCATTTTCAAGTGACCTGGGGAATTCCACCTTCCAGAGCCTCCCCCTGACATGGTTTGGAAGTGCTTTAAGTAAGACTGGATCTGCTGGAATTGGGGCAGGGCTTGGGGCCTCCCCTGAGGCTTTAGCATTATCAGCAGGGTTTCATCACCCTCGGGCTTGGTCCCCGTGAGTGTTGACCTAGGTGATGAATGACTGAAGTTGGCAGTTTCCACATGAAGGGCTCAGTTTCCTCCTTTCTCCTCACCCCAGGGTACAGAGACCTTGACTTTCCCTTGTGATCGATGGCTTGCCACTTCAGAGGATGACAAGAAGACCATTCGAGAACTGGTCCCTTATGACATCTTCACCGAGAAATACATGAGAGATGGGTCTTTAAGGCAAGTCTACAAGGAAGTGGAGGAGCCTCTGGACAGTAAGTGTGGGGCGATCGCCCTCATCACCATCGGCAGAACCCCCGCTCGTTGGACACTTGCCCTGTGCGGGGCGGAGCCTTTGCACCTCGGAGGCAGAGTCTGTAATTACCTTCACTCCATAGCGAGGGCAACTGAGGCTCACAGAGGTTACACAACCCCCCATTGTTCACTCAGCTAATAAATGGCATGGCTGTTCTTCAAAGTCGCAGCGCCCTCACCCTGAGTCTTGTGCTCAAACCCTCCCCTGGTCTGACAGTGTGAGCAGACATCCACGTATGTGCTCTGTGGCTGGACACAACTGGTCCTCGTTCTCTCCCTTGGCTTAGTTAATTTGGCTTCTAATCCGCGGGACTTGGTCCTCTCTGCTCTTGCTGGATCCAGCTGTCCCTACCGAGTGTGAATCAGATAGCTTCCCAGCTTTGTACGGAACTGTAACTCTGGTGTTTGTTCTCCGGGGCTGGGTGTAGCTTCAGCGTCCAAGGCCATGGGTTTCTTTTCTGTGTGTGCCAGCCACCTTTTCCTCATTGATGAGGCTCTTTCCTGCAGAATTTGTACCAGCCTGAGCACACACTTTCCTTTGCTTTGGAACCACCATTTTCTTTCCTTTAGTTATTTGTTTTTTTAATGGAAGGATAATTGTTTTACAGAATTTTGTTGTTCTCTGCCAAATATCAACACGAATCAGCCATAGGCATCCACATGTCCCCTCCCTCCCGAACCTCCCTCCCACCTCCCTCCCCATCCCACCCCTCTAGGCTGTTACAGAGCTCCTGTTTGAGTTCCCCGTCAAACAGCAAATTTCCATGGGCTATCTATTTTACATATGCTAATGTAAATTTCCATGTGACTCTCTCCAAACATCTTCTTACCTCTCTGACTGGTCTCTGAATGCTCTTCTCCCTTCCCTTACTGGGTGGCATTTCTCCAGGCTCAGACCTCAACCTAAACTGAGCCTCTGCTGTAGCTGTGACATTTCATCTGAGTTGCCACTTGCTTAGACATAAAAACAAGTGTTACCTCAATGACATGCCTTTCCCTACCCACATCCCTTTCTCTGAATGTGTTTCAGTTTGAATCTGGGGGATCATTTGCTTTTCTACTTGGATCCCAGAGGACACGCTGGAAAGCTGTCCTCACGGCACCCTTGGCTGTTCTGCGTTAACAGCATGCCATGAACCCCTCTGCGCTGGGTGGTGTTTCTAGGGAAACATCTTTTCACGGAGAGCTGGGTGGCCTTGGTGGGATGGGGAGGGAGGAGGATCCAGAAATAGCAGGATTTGACTGCACGACCGCACTGCTCATCACCCAGAAGCTGAGTCGGTTTTGCTAATTCCCAAAAGCACTGGAGAGAGCAGTGAGGGGCAGGAAGTCCATTTAAATCACAGCCCTGGGGACATCACACTCCTCTCTGGGACAAGGGCCGCCTTTGAAAATGTCCCGCCCAGGTGTGGAGCAGGTCTGAATGAACAACCAGGAAACAGATGCGGAGGACAAGTGAGGAGGGTGGGGACAGTCGACTGCTGTGTCCAAACTCTGGCAAGATTCCTGGTGTTACCTCATGTCATATCAGCCAGCCAGGTGTGGGTCATGTTGACTCCTTTAGACAAAAGAAGATGTTATTGTGTATGTGAAATGCTGGCTGGATTCTGTGCTGAGTTGAGCAAGGTGGGGGCTGGGAGGCCAGGGTTCAAGTGTGGCCAGTGCTGGATCCTGCTCCCAGAGGGGACAAGCCTTTAGAAGCAGATCTCCTGGTGCACCAAGGAGGTGTGGCCAGCAGATGCTGGGTGGGGTGGAGAGATGGAGATGGGAGGATGGGAAAGGGGTGGAGTTCAGGACTGGATGTGAGCTTGTGGCCTGTGGTCCAGTCCAGGTGGACACAGGGATGTGGGTTCAGAGCGCAGAAGGGACCTGGGCTGGAGATACAGCCTGGGGAACTCACAGGCAAGAGCTGTGGGAAGCAGAACTGGAAGACATGGGCATCTAGGGCAAGGCAGATGTTTAGGAACCTATAAGGCTGCTCAAGGAGCAGAGAGAGGCAGAAGAGGAGCAGGGAAGAATAACGCTACGGATCCAAGGGAAAATGAGGATAATAGGAACCATGTTGTGGGCGTGAGTGTGTTCCATACCCACAGGTAGAGCAGCTCATATCACCTGACTCTCCTGCATTTAGTTACATGTGGTTCTGAGCCCACTTGCATGGGCTAGTAAGAAAGTCCATCTCAATCACTGCAGGGAGGGGGCATCCCCTTTCCTAGGGTCTTATAAAAATCCTAAGCCTCACAGCAGGGACCTGGCCTTCAGTTCAGAGTGAGAACAACCTTTACTTGTGGCCTCCTGCTGTCTGGTGAGACTGTGGCTTCTGGCTGTGAGCCAGCACACAGGTTTCATTTCTCTGGGTGGCCAGAAAGGCTTCTCCAGGGAGCCCGGCTTTGTCAAAAGACCCTGTCTTCGCCCTGGATGCCTCCTTGCTTCAAGGCTTCAGACAGGCTTGGCAGCTGTCTCCTTGGGTCCCTGTGGGCAGGTAGGGAATTCCTACCACCATAGGCACTCCCGAACCCACACCTGCTCCCAGGCTGGGGAAACTGAACTTCTTCCCAGTTGGGCCATTTTCACCTTCACCTCAAAGCCACAACTTCCATCCTTCCCCTTGGGGATAATCCAGCTAAGTCCCCTCTTCCTTGGCCTGAAACTCCAAAGCTCCTGGCACAAAGGACTGTGGAGAGGGGACACAAAATGCTTAGCCATCATAGAAACAGATGTGTCTTCCCCCACCCAGGGTGGGGGCTTGTGTGAGTGACTACTTTATTCTTCCCTGATGAATGCTTAGCAGCAAAACAAAAACAAGACAGTGTTTGGTTTTATTTTCCTTAATAATCTGTAATAATTGTCACACCAAGTATTTTTTGAGCCCTTTCCAAAGGCCATGGGAGACCAAAGAGTAGGTGACAGTGATTGCAGCTTTGGTGGGGGGTGGTTCCCTGGAACACTGGGGCAGGTTGGTTGAAGAGTAAATGCAAATAAGAGAAGAGACACTGAGGGGAAGCTATTCTTTTAAATATACTTAATTTTTTTCCCATAAACTGTTTAGAAGGATTTGGCATTGATACTGGTCACCCTCCAATGGGAAGGCACATTTTTGTCAATGTGTCATGCCATGTGCATTTAGTGACCACGGTGTGCATGCATGGCAGGCAGTTTCCTGGGGGTGGTGATGGGTGTTTTGAGGGATGCTGGAAAAGTCTCCATCCCTTGGGTCTCTTAGAGGCAAACGTCCCACTGCTGAATCCAGCCGGACTTGTAGCAGAGCATGCATAATGGAGCAGACAAAAAGGACACTGAGTTCTCCTTGAGGGCTGGGCCACAAGCTCGACTCTGCCTACAAATCCAGTTCCACCAAACTAAACAATGCCGTCCCTTTCTTCCCTTTGTCTGTGTGTCTGTCCGACTGCCCACCCAGTTGTGCTGTACTCGGTGCAGATCTTCACAGGAAACGTTCCCGGGGCTGGGACGGACGCCAAGGTCTACATCACCATCTATGGGGACCTCGGGGACACGGGGGAGCGGTACCTGGGCAAGTCAGAGAACCGCACCAACAAGTTTGAAAGAGGAACGGTAGGCGGGGCCCCCAAGTTACCGCACCCTTCTCCTCTGGTCTTCTGTTCTGGGGGCCAGCTCCTCTTGGTCCCTGAGGCTGTCTGGGACCTTTTTGGGGTGTCATTGACCCTTGGGGTGGCATCTGCCCCATGCATCCCCCAAGGGCATCTGGTCCCCCTCCAGCCTACACCAGGGCCCTGGGTCCTGCATGTGGAGTGGGAATAGGACTTGAGCAGGCAAGAGGCCGTGTGAGACCCAGGTTGCTGGTTATATGGAGCTGGGTCGTCTTCAGAGAATGCAGCTCACTGCCCATGGATCATGAGTGTGGAGGTGAGCACCGCAGAGTTGGGGGGCTGCCTCGACAGAGGCTTGAACGAGATAGAGGTCTGGAGGGCTGGGTCTGCCATCCACTCTGTCTATGGCTGAGAATCTCTGGACTCAGTTTCCTCATCTGTGAAAGAAGGATCCTGATGTGAATCAGCTCAGCTGTGTTGTGCAGAACTCCAGACAGTGTGGAGGCCCGAGGGAGCCACGGAAGAGTGGGGGTAGCAGACAGGCATCTCCCTCTTCCCCCATGGGACCACTCTGACCTGGCCTATCTATTGGGGTGCCAAGCAAGCCTTCTATTAATCAAGGGGCTCTGTGGCTACCAAAAAAGCTTGAAAACCATCTAATTGGATAGTGGGATCTGAGGCCCTACCAGCTCTGACTTAACAGGGGTTTTACCAAAAGAAGATTTCCGTCCACACTTGCTTCCCACCAGCCTGGCACCTCTCCCTGCCAGAGTGCCCCTCTCTCTGCCACCTTCACCCTTCCTCACTTCTCAGGCTCCCTTCTTCCTCTCCATTCACCTAACTCTGGCAGAAGCCCCACAAGCCAGGCTACAGCCTGGGGAGGAGAGCCAGGCGGCTGGCTCCTAACCCCGTCTGCGGTCCTCCTCATAGCCGCGTGTCTGGGGAGATAGATTCCCACATCAACCAGCTTGTGTTCACTGGGGTCTCCTTAAGCCCAAGCCTCAGCCAGGCATGACCTTTAGTGCTGAAACGTCCGCTACTTGGTGAACAGGAAAGTAACTCCGGGCTAAGGACAGCAGGTGTCAGCTAAGCGGGTCTGCAGCTGGCTGGTGACTCCAGCAGCCAGACTGCGGGAAGGAGCCCTAGCCTGGGCTCGAGATCCCAGGGGAGTCGGGCCCCAGGGCTCCCTGAGAAGGTGGGAAGGGGAAAGGGAGTCCCCCGGAGCAGGTTCCACCCGAGGAAGAACGAAGGGGCTCTGGACTTCGTTTCCCACCAGAAAATATCTGTTGAATGAATAAATGAGTGAAAGTATAAATGAAGGTGATGCAATCCATTCTCCTTGGTGTTTAGGTTCAGATTTTTTCCCTGTTAGTAATTATGACATTGCAAGAGAAGTCTTTTCCCCATTCTGTCTTGTCCTTCTCCTCCTTCCCTCCCATGTTGACGTCCCATTGTGGAAGCTGGAGCTTTTGGCTCAGTCACTGATGATTTCGGACTTTGTTCACTGCTGAGTAAGTGAAAGCTTCCACTTATCTAATCGTTTGCTCCAGATCTAGGAGTCACCTTGACACCCCTCTCTCTGTCAGCACTCCCTCCTACCCATATCCAGTCAGTCACCTGGTCTTGGAGAGTGTCTCTGTAAATGACCCTCAGATCAGCTCGGTCAGCTTTGTCACACCTTCCTTATCGCACCTTGCTTAGAGAGCCCTGTGCCAGACCTCTGAAATCCAATCTACCCTCCAGGCTTCCCCAGTTAACCCATCCAAAGATGGATGAGTCACTCTCTCACTTGGACTCGTCAAGGCTCCCCTCCAACCCCAGATCTGGCCTGAGCCTTTCATGGGATTCCCAGATCTTCACTGCCTGCCTCACCACCTGCATAGAAGTTCTCCTGGGCCCCAGATTCCAGAACGGTCCACACTCTCTCCTGTGTCCAAGTCTTGCCAAGCCTTTTCTCTACATCCATGTACATATGCCCATAGGAAATACATAACACTGCTCTGCAGTTTTAACTTTTTACATAAAATATATCATTCTATATGGGTGCTTTTTTGCAGACAATGGGGTACCTTTGACATCTTTCTGTCAAGATAGTCAGACCTGGGTGTTGTTGACCTGTTCTTTGTAACCACTGCACACATAACATTCCACCTACAACACTGCCATGGTTATTTACTGTAGCCCCAACACTGGACACCTAGGTGGGTCCTAACTTTCCACTGTAAACAATTACCTGCAGTAAGCATCCTTGTGTACATATGAAGGTGTCCCCCCAGGACAGATGCAGAGTGGAATTGCTATGTTGTAGGGTGTGGGTTCAGCCACTTGCCAGCACTCTAAGGCCTGACAGGCCCACACCTGCCGTCAGCATCACACCATTCACCTGCACTTACCTCAGCCCACAGTCTGAACTGCCCTGGCTGCTTGGAAGGCCAGCTTCAGCTTAATGCCACCACCAAGAAAGTCTTGCCAGCCCTGGCCCTAGTCCTCACGCAGGTGGCTGCTACCACCACCTGGGCTGTCCTGAGGAGGGGCACAGGGCATCCTATTATCCCTGGGGTCCCCAGCTCTCAGTACAGTGACTTAGCATATCTTTTGGAAGGAAAGTGGGTGTCACTTGGGGTCACCTCCCCCACCTCTCCTTCCCCAAGCTCCTGCCAGCTGTTTTTACCTCAGCTCACCCGAAACCTAGAACTCCACATCTCACTGAGCAATCCTAAAGGAATGTAAGCACTAAAGAATACAATGTCACATCACGAAAGGTATAATCAGGGACACAGAGGAGGGCCTATGTCACCCTCCCCCCCCCCCCCCACAAAATCCCTCATGAACTCACAGTCAGGTGTTGGGCCTTGTGCATCGCCTGGCCTGCGCCATATCCTCTCGCCTCTCTGCTCTCCTGCAGCCCGGACTGGCTCCTCCAACTGCCAGCCTCCCCCCTGGGAATTTCAAGCCCTCTCTAATTATTCAGAAAGATTCCAGCTCTTCCATAGCTCCTACCATCCAGCCTCCTAGCTGACCTCAAGCCAATACTCTGCATAACTCAGCATGTCCAGAATGTCCTCTTATCCCAAGAGGAGCTAGACTGCAAAACAGGGCAATTGTGAAAGCAAGGCCGTGGAATATCAAACTCTCTGTCCTGGGGATTTGGGCCTGCAGGGCTCCAGCCTGGAAGGTCTGTTCAGCCCAGCAATTAAGGGGGATGAAAGGTACTAGACGGATGGGGCTGGAGCAGGTGGAGGCGGGGAGGGGCCCCCACCCAAATCCACCAATCTGGACTCCCAGGCCGACACCTTCATTATCGAGGCTGCGGACCTGGGCGTCATCTACAAGATCAAGCTCCGCCACGACAATACCAAGTGGTGCGCAGACTGGTACGTGGAGAAGGTAGAAATCTGGAACGACACCAATGAGGATGAGTTCCTGTTCCTGTGTGGACGCTGGCTGTCCCTGAAGAAGGAGGATGGGCGACTGGAGAGGCTCTTTTATGAGAAGGTGCGTGAAAGGCAGGTGGGGCACCCGGGGTGATTCCGTGGAAAACAAGGTGCCAGAGGCGTAACAGGCCTGGGTTGTGCTCCTCCTGACAGGAGTACACCGGGGACCGGAGCAGCAACTGCAGCAGCCCCGCTGACTTCTGGGAGATCACCCTGAGCTCCAAGATGGCCGACATCGACATCGCCACCGTGACGGGGCCCATGGCTGACTATGTTCAGGAGGGCCCAGGTAAGCCAAGCAGAGAGCTCATCAAAGCGTTGGCAGGCACACGGAAATGTGTTTAAACTATTCTTGGACAGGCCGTGTATTAACCTCACCATCATTTCACTTACATGTAACATTTTGTAGTTTACACACAGGTTCCTCACATGCTATTTCCATCCCCACAACAGCTCTGTGAACTGAGAGACATTGACCAAAAAAACAAATAGACTGCAATTTATTTCTCTAGTGAAAATGAGCTTATTTGGGATCAGCAGAGACTTGCAACTTGGAATCTACAACCAGGTCAAGCTACACGCAAGTCCCCACAGAGCAAGGGAAGGAGAACTCTTTCACAGAGGAGAAAAGGAAGTTGGGAAGGCTGGAGTAAACCCGGAGTCCACAGCTTTTCACTGGCTGAGTTGTCGCCAGGATAGAAGAGGAGTCTTTCCTGGGCTCTGTCTGTTGTCACAGGGCATGAGAGCTCCCCCTCCTGGTCTCCTGACTATTTAATTGAAGTTTCTAGTTTTTTGTTTGTTTGTTTTTGTTTTTTTATTTTCTCCTCTTGACGGAGTTCTTTTTATGAAAGCATCACTGATGAGTCAGGTTTTCACTTCTCAGCAGCTTTTTGTCCCTCAGTGTCAGGAAGGACACTTCCTGGGTAGTGTCCCATGTTGGAGAGAAAGTGCAAAGATTGGAAACCTAATACGATCGCATTTGAGTAACAAGGAAGGAGGGAGAAATCTCAGGCATTTTTTAAATCCAAAGTCCATGTTACCAAGATAATAGACTCTGGAGTTTACCTGAAGCTTTATATCTCCATCAGAGGTTTGGAAACACACTTCTGACAGGCCTGATCTGGATATCTTGGGAAAGCTGTTTCATCAGGTGTTGTATGCTTCAGTTCCAGGAAATATTTTCTTTCATGTGACTGGGTGATGTACATGTCCAATCGGGATTTAACTGCCTTCTTTGTCATATGAATCCAAGAGTCTATTCCTTGGAGTTTGGTAGCACAAGTGTTGGTTAGCAGTACTTCCCAGGAGCTTTCCAGCATGATTGAAGATAGTCTTTTCCAATAAATAAAATATCCAGGCCGCAAGGCATAATGCTTAAGATCTTTGTCTCTGAAGAGCATACCAGGAAAAGATTGCTCTACAAGTAACATGATTATTTTCAATAGAAATTGTATTAGAGTGTCTCTCCTTTTATCAGTTGTGGAGCAGAAAAAGCAGAAGCCAAGTACACTGGGTGTACTGTGACTATCTTAAAGGGTATGTGTTGGTGAGTTCCAAAAGGATTGGGTCTAAGATTTAGAAGAATCAATGGCAGTGCTTTTTGCTAAGGTATTTGGAGGTTTTCTACAGAAATTGCCATTGAGTCTTAATAATGCTGTTAGTGCATTTAACTGAACCAGAGGATTGAGAGTGGTTAGCACAATGAAAGTGTATTAAAACCAGCCAAATAGTGCAGACTTGTCAAAGTACCTGGGCTTCCCTGGTGGCTCAGGTGGTAAAGGAAGCTGCCTGCAGTGCAGGAGACCTGGGTTCAATTCCTAGGTTGGGAATATCCTCTGGAGAAGGGAATGACTACCCACTCCAGTATTTTTGCCTGGAGAATTCCATGGACAGAGGAGCCTGGTGGGCCACAGTCCATGGGGTTGCAGAGTCAGAAACAGCTGAACAACTTAGCATGCACTCCCGTCAAAGTACCTGGCTAGTGAAATTAGTTCTTCAATCACTATCAAGTTTGAGAAGAGTTTCTCAAGTAGGTATAATCTTTTCCAAAGGGGCTTTGTCCAGAGAAGAGGCGGTAGTCTGTCAACAAGGAAAGGCTTCCATTCAGTGTGAAAACATACAGACCATGACTGAAAGATATTTATCTCCATGAGACGTAGGAAGTTGTATTAAATCCATTTACTAGACCTCAAATGGTCCATTAGTAAGTTTACAGTGTCCAGGAGCAGTGCAAGCAGATTTTCCTGAGCTGTGTTTCAGAGAAGTGGAATAGTGAGGTAAGCACTTTTGTGGCCTTGCTAATGTTTCCTCACTAATACTGATTCATGGATTCTATCATCCATGAATAGACCAATGGTTTGATGCAGGTACAGTGGTGAGGAGTGGGGATTTTACTCTCTGGTAAGACTGGGTAGTTGTTTGGTGCAAAAGCTTTCTCTTTTTTATCAAACCAAGAATTGTTGAATTTCCAATCTTGTTTTTCTTTTTTCTGAAGCCAATTGTTGGGCTTTTCTAGCTAGTTTTGCTAAGTTATCACTTGGGGGAAATATCCCTTTGGACTGTGACAGAAGTCTGACTGCTATCAGTTCCTTCAAGGTCAGCATTCCTTGCAGAAATGTCAGCAAGGTGATTTCCCTTAGCTTCCAGCGAGTCAAGTTTAGAAAGCCTCAGAATCTTATTAATAGCTAAAACTGCAAGTGAAAACATTGCATCCTGTAATCCCTGAACATCGGAGCCATTTAAAATTTTATTTCCTCTGGAAGTAAAGAAGTTGTGCTGTTTCCACAACATTCCAGAATCATGAGCTATTCCAAAAGCTTATCTACCATCAGTATAAATGTTGGCAGTTTTGTCTTTGGCTGAAGTATGAGTCTGTGTAGGACTGGAAACCTCTTGAGATCACTCGTGTAACCATGTGTACCACGGGGCTAAAGTAACAACATCAAAGGAGTTGCAGTAGCATACCCAGCAAAATATTTCTCATTGTCACCTTTTGAATAGGAACCATTAGTGAGCCATGAGAAGTCAACATTACCCAAAAGAGTTTCCTGAAGATCATCAGGAGAGTTAGGAGGTGACCATCAGCGTTAATTGGTAGGGAGGGACTTCATCATGGAGAGAAAAGTAGCCTGGTTAAGAATATTACAATGTAAAAGAGTTCTCTAAGGAGCAGTTAACAAAAGGACCACATGGGAAGTGAGGCAACTGACTGAGAAATGTTGAGTGTGGTGAGAATTCAGGAGGGCTTCTACTGCATGAGGCACAAAAATGGTTCAAGATCTCATAAGGATTTTTCTTGGTAGCCCTTACCCAAAAGGGCAGTAGCTACAATGGCAAAGGGGGTATCCCATTGGCGCAGGCTCCAGTTGCTGGCTATTATACCCTGTGGGCTGATGGTTCTCACCATGTTTTAGGGCATGTACCCCAAGGTATACACATACCTCTTCCTTTTCATATGCCAAAAGGGAAAAGGAAATATGATCTTTGAGGCACCCAAGGACAGGTGGATTCATCAGACTCTCCTTTAAGGCCTTAAAAGCTATGTCATCTACTTCTTCCCATAATATTAGGTCAGTGTTATTATTGTTTAGTAAAACATACACAAGTTTGACCATAAGAGAGAAATTTGGAATTCAGTTTTTGCAATAACAAAGTAACTCTAGAAAACCTAGCAGTCAGCACTTAGTTTGGGGTTTGGGGAAATTTAGGATACCGTGAAGTCTATCTGGAACTAGGTATAACTCTTGTTCTCATATCAGATGCCCTACATGTGGAAACTAGGGATTGGGGCAAGCTGCAACTTTTCTTTGGCAGTCTTATGTCCCTTCAAGGTTAAAAGTTTTAGCGAGTGGATACTGTCTTTTTATAAGGAAGCTTGAAAAGGAGATCAAAGAAACAAATCTTCCACATAGTACACCAAGGTAATCCCTAGAGAAATTTTTATCATCAAGATCAGGCTTCAGGATTTGTGAGAAATAGGGAGGACTCCTAGTAAAATCCTGAAGCATTACTGTTCAGGTGAAATTTTTTTTCTTCCAGAGTGAATGCATAAAGGTACTGACTAGCTTCGTCTACTGGAATACTAATTGAATGCACTGCATAAATAAGCTACAGTAAAGAATTTGCTCCAATTGAGGTTGGATAGTAGTCACACTTGAGGGTTAGGAACAATAGGGTGTTGAGGGATAACGTTGTTTTTATTGCTTGAGGTTCAGGAGAAACCTGTCTACCTTTGGCTCTTACATTGTCTCATGGCAAAATGGGAGAGTTACAAGAGCCAGTACAAGAGATAATGAAGCCTTGAGCCTTGTAACCTTCTGTTATTAACTTTGTGCCTGGAAGGATTCTTCATTTACAGGACATTGATTAATTCTGAGAAGAGATTTTGAGAATCTATTTGAATCTTGGTTGGAGGTGCACTGTGTATTTTGCCAGTATTGGTTAAGGATTTTGCTCTTAAGGTGGGTGGTAGCTGATTCAGTTGGGACAAAGAATCAGTGTTTCCAGAACCATCTCTAGTACTGTCAGACACAGAGCAAATAAAAAATGTCATTTAACTCATCTGGTGGGCTGCTTTGTGACTACTGTCAAGTCCTAGAATTAGTTCTCCTTTGGGGGAGAAAGAAATTCCAACATGATACTTCTGTAAGAAGTCTTGGCCTAACCAATGGATAGGGACAAAGGAACTAAGAAGAAAAAGACATGTATCTCTCAAAGGGCCTAAACAAAAGGAAATAGGTTCAGAGACAGGAACCTCTCGAGGTTCATTAGCAATCTCCGCTATTTGAACTGATTAGTACTGTGGAGCAGGAGCTGTTTTAGTAGTGGGGTTGAGCCTTGGGAGTGTGGCTGTGGTAACATTTAGGACTGGGAGAGATTCATTCCCAACCTGGGGGGATATTTCTCCAAGACCATTAAGAGGGAGGATTGGGAAGAGCCCCTGTATTTTCTGTGAGCCCTGCCCTAGAGAATTGGGAGGACACTGGAGAGGCTATTTGGGCGTCCCTGGTGGCTCAGATGGTAAAGACTCTGCCTGCAATGCAGGATACCTGGGTTCAATCCTGGGTTGAGAAGATCCCTTGGAGAATGAAATGGCAACCCACTCAAGTATTCTTGCCTGGAGAATTCCATGGACAGAGGAGTCTGGAGGGCTACAGTCCATAGGGTTGAAAAGAGTCAGACATGGTTGAGTGATATCACTTGGAGAGGTTATTTGGAGGGCTGAGGGTGTCTAAAGCACTTAAAATTTGTAGCAATTTCTTTTCCAGTGTCTTGGCTCTTTGCACTAAC